GGGGGGGGGGCCCGGACCGTTCTGAGTAGGAACAGGATGATGAGCGTGACAATGATGAGCGAACAGATGATGAACGTCCCGGTGTGGTTCTCTGACACAGCCACAGGCATACAACAGATGGATGCATGTGCACACGTGCTGTTGGTAGTTCGCATACTGAATACGAGCGAGAATCTGCAGTAGACGAGCACCGATGCGCAGAGCATCACCGAAATCGTCCCCGTGTAGAAGAGCTCTCGCGCCAACGTCGTGAGGCGCTTGCAGTGACACTGGCGAACACACCAGAAGGCACCACATCACATCACACGACAGCGCACAGAAGTGAGAAAACAAACGACTTGTTGGTTGCCTCCTTCCTAGCCCACCCTACCCTGTAGAACTCCTCGAAGGTTGAGTGTCTCAGTCCGCATGGCCTGTAGATGATCTCTCGCTGGGCTATCACATACTTGCTCATGCGGCTTTGCACCGCCATCGCGAACCACACCTGTGGAGCATGGATGCACACTGACATTGCTGATGGTTGCCTGTGTGTCTCTTGCCTCCCTCACCGACCGATAGAAACAATGAGCAGAGGGCCGTGCTGAAAAAGATGGAGAATACGATGAGAATCCAGGTCTGGTCGGCATGCAGATCGGGATCGTTCTCGGGGATCAACTGCATGCCCTGCACACATCAAAACGACATGTACAGCACTCACTCACATATGGACGGATGGATGGATGGATGGATGGATGGACGGATGGATGGATGGACGGATGGATGGATGGCCGGATGGATGGATGGATGTGGGCCTGTGAGTATTGACCTCGACTAGCAGTGAGAAGCAGCAGCCGAACATGAGAGTGTCCACAATCATGAGCGTGTTGGTCTTCTGCGTCCGCTGGGACAACATGTCACGCATCTCCTCACGACTGCATCCATCCCCACACAACCCAACGCACCCATACAGAGAGCAAAAGGCGATATGGGCCATCTGTACATATGCTCGCTGCGTTTCCTTTGTTTCGGCCATCGTACCGAGCGAACTCCCTGTCGATTGAGCGCGCCTCTCTATGCAGCACATGGGCATGCTGCAGCGCATCTTTGTGCAGCTTGCGGCTCTGCAGCCATCCATACACACATTCACACCGAGGCATCCATCGGCCCGTATGCCGTCCATTCACCACTCGCCCCTCATTCGCCCACCTGTTCCAGCCCCATGCGCGTGATCTCCTCCGCATGCTCTAGGCTCTTGATGAACAGGTTCTGCGACTGGAGAATCGACTCCTGCAGTCACGTCAATACACAGGGAGGAAGGCCATTCAGACGCTCCGGTTGCTTGTGGCGAGTGGCTGTGCTGACCAGGTGCTGTTCCTGCGCCAGATGGATCCCCTCTGTGTGCAGCTTCTCCCCTTGCTGCAGTGACTGTCGATGCAACTCCCTGAACACACGAGCGACTCACATCCATCAAATGAGATGACAAGCCTCGTCTGTCTTTCTGTCCTGTCTGTCCCACCTGGTGGCGAGCAGCTGCTGCTGATGCAGCCATTTCTCCCAGGCGAGTTCCCTCTCGTGTGCCGTCTTGGTGACACCAATCTGCTCCTCGTGCTGTGCTTTCTCGAGCTCAATCTCCTCCCTGTGGAAGGCCCTGTCCTGTTCGATGCTCTCCTGATGCAGCCGCTGGTCCTGGATGATCTGCTCGCGGTGCAGGCGCTGGTCATGCACTATGGGCAGCACCGTGGGCACTAAAGGCGCCACATACTCGGACGCCAGCCGGATGTAGCTGAATGGATTCGACATCGTGGCAATCGTGGCGCGCTGAGAGCAAGGCTGAGGGCGGCGGAAGGAGGGCTGCCTCAGTCCCTCCTGCTATTCGCTGAGGGCGTTACTGCTTGACTGCAGCCGTCATCACTCGGAACGATCAAGTGAAGCTAAGACGACATCCTGCAGACCCTCGCGCCACCTCCGGGTTTTTCGCGTGACGTGTCGTCATCTGCGAGTGCGAGCTTAACGCTTTTCCCCTTGTTCTCTACGAGAGAGTGAAAGGAATCAGGCTCCCGGACGCCCTCAGGTACCAAGAAATAGAGCCATGTGCCAAAGGAAATCGCTCATCGGTCTCGCTCATCTTTTTTTCTGGCAGGCGAATCTATGTGTGTTGAGGCGCATCAATGACAAGACAGCACCAGACAGCAATGGCACCTCATCATGTGTTCCCCACCCTCTTCCCCTTGCACCAGCACGCCGCATACATATCTCTCATTTGCGTCGCCGTGCTGCTCAAAGACACCCAATGGATGGAGGAGAGGTGGCAAGCCATGAACGACAGGTTCAGCGAATGGGTTATTGTCTGCTTGGTCGGCAACTCGCTGGCCGTGGCCGTGTTCTGGGTGCACTCGCTCGTGTTGATGGCCGTTGCGTGGCTGCTGCCCCAGTGGACGGAGAGGCATCGCCTGCAGTCAGAGAAGCGCATGTCAAGGCGGGACTATGTTGTTGTAGCCACTGGGTGAGACGAGGGGAGAAACGAGGTCACGAGAGCTTGTGTATCCATTGATCTCTCTGCTCTGCTCTCATTGCAGAGTGCTGCTCAACCAGTTCGTCTGGACGCTGCCTGTGTTGTGTGTCTACTTCCCACTATGGCGGCTTCGGGGCTGCAGGGTGCGCCTCCCCTTCCCGTCGTCTGTCAGCGTGTTGCGCGACCTTACTGTCTTCTCTATGTTTGAGGAGTTGCTATTCTACTGGACCCATCGCCTCCTGCACCATCCGCGATTGTACCGGCACATCCACAAGCAACATCACGAGTACAGCGCACCTGAGGGCATATGTGCGGAGTACGCCCATCCTGTCGAACACGTACTGAACAATCTGCTGCCCATCCTGGCTGGACCGCTAGTTGCTGGTGAGCGACACCACAGGCAGATAGCAACACCGATGAATGTTGCAGATCTCAGTGCTGGTGGCGTGCGTGTCTTGTTGCTCTTTCTCAGGTACGCATGGGTTCACTTTGGCTCTGTGGATCGTGTTTGCCATCTTCACGACAGTGCACACGCACAGCGGCCTCTCGCTGACCGGCTTCCCGTGTGCATCGCACCACGACTATCATCACCGATCCCTTTGCGGCTGCTATGGGGTCTTGGGTGTCCTCGACTGGCTCCATGGGACTGACAAGGGATACAAGAGGGAAATCGCAAGAGAGAAGGGAATTGTCGATGTTGATACGTGAGAGGACCCACGGATTCGTGTATGGCAGGTAAGTCAGTTTGTTGCCTGTAAAGTTTTTCCGTTGCTCTGTTGACAGTTTTTCGTCGTTGGACTGTTGATACGGGAATGCGATGGTTGTGAGTGACAACAGAACTGACATCGTAGAGTCACTCATGTACACTGATTAAAAACTAGTCAAGAAACCGTGCAAGTGAAAGTCTGGCCACGCAGCGCAAGTCAACATCCGCAGATCACTTGCCCTTTGCCCATGATATCTTCAGTTCGCACTCGGGCGTCACCTTGAAGCCATTCAGCCCGTGCATGGCGACCTCCGCCTGCATGACACCCAGACAGTCACCACCAGTTGGTTTTGTTTCTTCTTCTCCCATGTCAGTGCATAGCTGGTGTGCGGTCAAAATCACCTGCATCGACTCCTCGTAGTCCACAAACGCAACATGACGACCCTCAATCAATCGCGCCTGATGGAAACACACGAAAGCCCCGTGCTAAGTGAGCGAACCTCTCTCTCTGTCTGCTTTGAGTGCGCACCTCGACAAATCCCGGGTATTGCCCAAACAGAGCATTGAGTGCCTCAACTGTGATCCTCTCCTCCAGGTTCTCCACAAATATCGTGTGCGGTGCGCCTGGAGCCGCCTGCGATGGCGGCGCGGCAGCCGCTGTGGGCTTCCTCTTGGCTTGCGCTTGCTGCTTGTCGGCTCCCTTGTCTTGGTCCTTGCGCTTCTTGGGCAGGTAGGTGCCTCTGTCCTTGAGCACGGCGTCGGACTGTGTCTTGGCGTACGCCAGCTTCAGCGGCTTCTCCAGGAAATCCTGACCCTGAACGAATGGAGCGGCCACAACACAGCGTGCCGGTGTGGATCGAGCAGACGTGTGCAGATGTCTGTCCGTCCTACCTGCAGGCTCCTGAGTGCCGTGGTGGCGCTCATGATGTCCCGAAAGACAATGAACGCCTGACCTCGCTTGGATGGCGTCTTCTGGGCTTGGATGTCGAGGATCTCGCCGAACTGGCTGAACAGCTCGAAGAGGTTGACTCGCATGTCAGGCAGCTTGGTCTTGTCGTTGAGGTTGCTCACGTAGAGCGTCTGGTTGGGAGGAATGTCGCCTGCCAGCATTGTCAGGAGGAAATTAAGACGGCGAATGAGATAGATGATCACAGAGGAAGGAGCGAGGCAAGGCAGATCAAAGCTTGTGCACGCTGCGGTTTCACGGTTTTCACGAGCTCAGAGGCTTGTACGGAATAAAGTGCAGCCGAAGTGAGTTACCTTCCTGGTCTCGGTATTCCAACACGATGCTGACTTTGTTGATCCTTGGGCTGCTTTGCAAGGCACAGATGGCCTTCTCTGGAGCCGATCCTCGCCTCCGTACACGCTTTCTCACTTGGGGCGACAAGAGGCCGGCTTCTGGTGCGGTTGCCGCTCAGCAAATCGGCAATAACGTCATCCGGAGCGGCAACCAGACACTGTGGGAACCTGCGCCAGGTGATACCCAGACGTGCCCTCCAGCTTAGCGCTGCTTTTCTGTGGATTGTCCTCTGGTTGGTTTGTGCGTGCAGGACCTCAGAGGGAGCAGGACGACTGCATCAAGAGCCAAGCTGGGACGTGCTGTGGGCTCGTCGTCGGGCAGTTCTTGATGGAAGGCGGCCAATCCCTAGCCATCGAAGTCGATCTGGTACAGACAGACGGAAAGGTTCCTCACCGCAGGAGTTGCTGTCAACACACGTATCTCCGCAGAACGACGCTGCCGACAAAAACGCCTCGAGGGTGATAATTGCTGCGGACACGGCAACAGGAGGTAGGTATGAGGAGGTAATGAACCGATAAAGACAGCCACACTGATGTGTGTCTCCGTGCTCTATTTCCCTTCCCCCACAGAGGCCGATATATTTGTCGATGTCGATGGGTCGGTGGAACTAGAAGCAAACGAGGATTGTTGACATTGTCTACCTACGTCTTCCCTCCCTCTCCTCGATCAATTGTGTGCAGGGCCTTCTACGAGAGCTCCACCAATCCGACTGACGACTCTCGCAACTTTGAAGACTATGTCAGCGTGCCTGTGACGGAAGGTGACAGTCTTTCCGCAGACGTTGTGGCGATCGGCGGTCAGCCCGCTGACGTGGTGAGCGCGTGTGCCGCAGACAGTGCGAAAGACGCGACAAGCATTACAAAAGACTCATGCAGCAAACGCCTCCGTGCCGTGCGTGTGGTTGTATTCATACCATGCAGTTCATATCTGTCTTTCCAGACGTTGACGGCTGCATCCCGGCGCCGGCCTGTCCGCCAGGGGCCCTCTTCTGTCTCGCTGGTGGGGGCGGATGGGATGGAGACAGAGATTTTGAAGAGCCGGACCGACGCACGCTGGGCGTCGACCGTCTTTGATCAATCGATCGACGTAGGAAGCTGCCTCCCTGCCTTCATGCTTGGCTGCTTGGCTGCCGTACTCTCACTTACCCCTCATTGCTGCTTACCTATCCATAATGTGCGTGTATGTGTATTTGTGTGTGTGCGTGTGCGAGCGTCTTTTGATTGATAAGTTCATCTAGTCAGCACTCTATCCGAATGTCTGTTACTTCTCATCGACCGGGAGACGACGTCTGTAGGACACACATGCTTTGTGGGCGAGAAGCCTTAGACTCCACACCCTTGCTGTCTGTGTATTGGTTCGTGTCTTTGCGAGAGGGAGGCGTCTATCTGTGTGGATTTTGCATGCAGATAGAGGCATATGCCCGGAGACAGTGTAGCTGCACTTCTGCGTGTGGGGATCGATGGGAAGTCACTCTTGTATCGTGTTTCTTTTGCCGTATGCGACTGTCAGCAACCAAGTCAGTGTTCTTCCTACTCGATTGGAGACAATAGCTGTTGGACACGTCAGTGCACCACACATGAAGTGTGTGCGAGCCATTGATCATGGTGGATGAGTGAGACCTTACGAAAGACTATCATCAAGGCGTTCATGTTGTTCATGTCCCGTGTATCGGGATGGTGTCTCATTCGTGGTCCCTTTGTGTCAGCCCACCCGACCCGCCACCCAATGTGCTCCCATCCATCCATCCATCTATCCATCCATCCATCCGTCATGCATGCAAGCATCCATCCATAGGCACTGATTGATTGCATTGGCCTGCTCCTGTTCCGTCTATGCAAGTGAGAGAGACGTCTCTCGGCTTGCAGCACGCCTCTCTCCGGCAGCATACACGCACCGTCTCACGTCATACGCACAAAGCCGCCTGACTGACTTGACTGACTGATCGTCATTGCCACAGAATGTACGGAGAAAAGTACGGGCCACGGAAACAGACAGACGAACCAACACACCATGAGAGCGAGACAAATGACTCTGCCAACGCAATTCAGCGGCGTAAGAGAATGACCGATTACACACTGATGGCATCGCAATACGACACAAAGGGAAGACAAATGCCGATCGGGGTAACATCTGCAGGCCAGCCACAGAGAGATAGATTCATTCACACAATACATGCTGCCCTTCGGTCGATTCGTTGCTTTCTGCAATGGAGCGATGTCGCACAACACCCACCGTTGCACTCGTCGGTGTAGAAGTGGCACTCTACGTTGCGGCGGCACCGACGTCTGTACCTGCGCTCCACTGTTGGTGTTCATTGGCTGATGCACCTGGCCGAGCGTCAACCGAGTGTGTGTCTGCGGTCGGTGCTCACAAAAGCCATGTCTGCAGAAGTGGTGTCGAACGCAGTCGTGGTCATCATGGCAGCTGTGAAGGTCATCATCACTCTCGTCATCACCCCTTTCGCCTGCACATCACAGGAGGGAGGCAAGGATGATACCTGTGGCATGGGTGTGCATTTGGGGGCTTACAGCAGTCATGTATGCAGTGATTGTAAAAATGCACACCTGTCGCCAATAGTCCTGGACAGCCGAGGCGAGCTTATAGCATGCGTGACCTGATCATCCCTCTTCAAGTTTATAGCTGTGATCTTCCTCGTTGTGACGAGGAGACACCAGATATTGCTCTGTTTGTTTGTGTTTCTCAATCTGCGCATGTATGCGTCTCGATGTCTGGTCTTCCATTCATATGAACTCGTCATCCCTGGTCATGCACGTGCGGACGGGCCACGCATAGAGACAGACAAAGAGACAGACAGGCAGTCGAAAGGCGGAAGCGAGCTGAGGGTTTAAGCAAATCCGCCAACACCTTCACCACACCAGCCAGTGAAGACTGCCTATTAGCGAAACACCATCAGAGTGGCAGCTAGAGATCAGATAGACAGACAAACAGACAGCGCCCGTCATCACACCATCACGAAAGTGAGAAAAACAGACCGCCCGGCTGGTTCAGAGAGAAATCACTCCAGTGGCACCCGCTGCAATCCGACGCCAATCTTTCCTGCAAACAAAAAAAACACATAAATCACCACATACCTCAGTCTCAATCTATTGGTCTCAATTGAAGAGTTGTGATACACACATTTTGTCCATCCGGTCACATACTTTTTTTGTTGAAAAACGCTGGTGTCGTAAGTTTGAGTCCTGTCTCTTCAGTGAGCTCGATGAAGCGTTTGAAGAGGAGGCTTTTAGCTTGGTCTTTTTTGAGGAAGCAGAGATCCACTGAAAGGCTTTCCTGGGGCGAACAGACCGTGCCCTTAATTGGCTTCTCACACTCGCATGCATGGCCCTCGAAGAAACCCTGAAAAATCAGACCACCCGTCGCCCCATGAATGCTCGTTCACTCAATGGTCACATACAGGAACGTTGTTGACGACGACCATACCGCGCTGTTGCACATTACAGCCACACACACACACACACACACAGAGAGAGAGAGAGAGAGACAAATATTGCAGAGAGAAAGAGAGAGAGAGAGAGAGAGAGATTCTCCATGGAAAGGATGGCGAATCGCTGCCGCACTCCGAACACATATTACCGGAGCGAGGAGCGAATGCATGTTTTGCCAGAAAGACGTCATGATCTTGTACTGCGGCAGTATGTACTTGCGCGTGTCTGCGATGCTCATATTACCCAAGTGATACGTCATGGTATTCCAAAAGAGGTCCTGCCGGATATTAATACGAGAAGAAAGATTACATAAGTGCAATATCTATTTCACTCAGTTTCAGACCTGAGGGCAGTACACGAGTACGATGAGCTTGAAGTCTATTGCTTGAAGTGGTTGAGTGGCAGTCCGAGTTCCGAGTTAGCAGATTTCACCTGCACTCATGGGGAGAGAGATATCCAGTCAAAGTGTGGGCACTGTTGTTTGATCCGATAGTATACCCACCTGCTGAGTATCAGTGAGGTCGAGCTGCCAGAAGTCGGGCAAGGGGAATTTCCTCAGTTTGGACCAGGTAAACTCATCATCGTATCTCGATTTGTCCCAGTCTGATGAGCGACTTAGCATATCGATATTCGATATGAGGATACAGGTAAACTCACCGAATACTCACCGTTAGCATCTTTGACGTCGTGGGCTGCCGTCTCAAACTGCACCACTTTCTCGTTTGCCGAGTATCCCTTCAGCCTGCGCGGCAGCGTCGCATCCAAGTCGTAGTCGATGAACGCAACCGACTTGAGAAGATCCTCAATCTTCCTGTGGACAACGTATTGGAGACGCATCCGAGTAGCATCCGAGCGCATGCACAGCATCAACATGCGAGGCATACCGAACATGCAGAGGAGGGGTTAGGTGCTTGAGATAATACGTCAGCTCTCTTTCCTTCCCCTTCGGGAGGCCGAAAAAAAAGTGCTCTGCATGTTGCCCAAGGCCGTGAACGGGGGAGTGGCATCCTGCACTATCAAAAGCATTCATGTTGCATGCATGCAACGAAGTCGATGGAATGGCTGTTTGCGCGCACCGAGTAGAATATCAGGAACATCATCCGTGGCAAGGTAAGTGTGCTGGTGAAGGAAGCCGTCACGGCGGCCGGCGTTGGCAATGCTCATGCCGAAGGAGACATCGTGGCGCCAGCCCAGAGTCACCGGAAGGCAGCCCAGCAATGTCAGCACGTGGAAGGACGCCAAAACAACACAATAATGGGGCGACATCGTGACGAAAGGCTGCTTTAAACGAGGAGAGACTTGGAGCTTCTCTTTTTCCAGCTCGCATCGTGGGGGCGTCTCACTTTTCCGCCATTTAGCCAGAGGGTGCTCACGCCGAAAATGGTCCCCACGCGAAATAAGCAGTGGGGATGAAGGTAGAGGACCGTGGTAGAGCAGTGGAAAAATACAACAGTTCACATGTACACTCCGTACACAACCGTTAGCGCGACCTCCGTACACAACCGTTTTTCGCTGTGAAGCATGGATTGTCCTGACCCCGTCGTGAAGCAATCAGTGCTTCGAGCGATGCGCCCTCGCTTCGGTGCGCCGTGTGTGCTCTCTGTGTTAGTGGTCGCCCCACTCTACTTCTTATGTTTTTTCCTGATCAAGCGACAGTGCGGTCCGCTACCCCTGATGCTGACGCGGCTATGCTCTGTGGGCGTGATGCTGGATGGCGACAAGCGCGGCAACTCGAGAATGGCGCATCTTGAGGTGTTCAGCAGCTCGGCTGACTCGTCGCCACTTCATGACACGAAGAGAAGAAGGAAGGTCCTGGAGCGGCCCTTTGCCCACATTGTCCGACATGCCTCTGTGATCCGTGAGTCTGATTCGCCATCCCTCTTTCCCTCCCATCACTGGGTGCCCGGCCTGCGGTTTGTGTTCGTCATCACTCCGACGTACAGGCGAATCACGCAGCGGCTGGACCTGACGCGGCTCTTCAACACATTCGCTCTCGCAGCCAGTAACGTGCACATGATTGTTGTGGAGGACAGCGTCAACAGGACAGCCAAAGTCGAGAGATGGCTGAATGACAGCCTCCTATTGCATTGGTCTCACCTGAACGTCAGCAGCTCATCTGGATTGAGGACCAGGGGGGCAGAGCAGAGGAACGAGGCCATTCGGCTGATACGGGAGATTGTGCTAAATGAGGCCGATGCGGAGCTGAAGAGAGCATATGAGGTGCACAAACACCAATGCACACAGCAGACAATCGGGGGATTGTCTCCTTTCTGTTGCAGGATTCCGTTGTGTATTTTGCTGATGACGACAATGCATATGATATTCGCATTCTCGATGAGCTGCGAAAGGTCCGCAACGTCGGCACTTGGCCTGTGGGTCTGACGGCAGGACCCAGAGTAGCTCAGTACTGTGACGTCAACTCGACCACCGGCAAAATCAAGAAGTACAACGCATGGGGGGTGAGCGAACGAGCAACATGCGAACACGAACGGCGGGTAGATCCGACCAATGCTCATGTCGTTTCCTTTCTGTGTGGATCTGTGTGTATCTGCATAGGGGCATCGTCCGTACACGATTGACACGGCAGGCTTTGGCGTGCACGTGAGGCACTTTCTGCGGGACCCCCCAGTGCTGTGGAATCCCAAAAGTAGGAAGGCCTATTCGGAGAGCGATTTCCTCGGACAGACGAATGTCAGCAAGTGGGACATCGAACCACTCGCAGACAACTGCACAAAGGTGTGTGCGCGATGAGCAAGCCAAATTGTGCTGTGCGCAGATGGTTCCTGTTTGTCGTTCAGGTGTATACATGGCACGTGAAGACCCATATTGGGGACAAGAAGCGGCCAGCTGACTTCGATAAGAAATTCGACGTCTAGAAGCGACACGAGCATTTGTGTCATGGTGCATTCATTCCTGATGCACTGACATTCGTACGTGTCTGTCTGCGTGCTTTTCATGTCTATCAGATGTAATTAGCAGGATCTGACTGCCTCCAGTGGCCTAGAGAGGCGGAGGCAAGCAGTGTGTTGATGTGAGTGATGGTATTTGTAGGCGTGCCCGTCCGTAGAGCGATGCTTGGGTCCTCTTGTCAGCTGGCCCTTGTGACTGATCGCAATGCATGCGAAGTGTGCATGTGTAGACTTACGAGTGTGCATGTGTGGTTAGTCAGCCGGGCGCTCGATCAGGTCTCTTTTTCGTCGCATCGATCTCGTGACATACACACGTGGTGTTTACTCCCAGGCAGGCAGGTGTTTTTGAATCAGTTTCTCTTTCCTCTTGGTGTCACACGCGCTCTCATGGTGGGCTGCTCAGCTATCGGGCGACTGGTTTGGGAATCCAGTGCGTGTTTTTGCTTTCATGTCTCTCTCTCGGTTTCTTCTTTCATGTCTCTCCCCACATCCATACACTGGAACGGATCTGAATCTGTCGGTTGTGTCATTTGTCGGATGTCTATCGGCGGACTGGTTCGTGCTTTTGCATTCTTGTCTCTCTCGTGCATGTCGACATGTGCAGCTGCGTTGTACTGTGTTTTGGTTCTCGCGTCGTGCGTGCCATGCAGTGTCGAAATGTGCCGTCTTGTCGATATGGATGCTGACTGATATATCGAGCGCTGCATTCCTATCGTACGACTTTTTCCGCACGAGTCGTGATTGCTCTATGGAAGACGCTCGTGTTGAAGTAGGTGTTGGGCCTCAGCTGACTGACTGATATGGGCGAACAGTCAATCAATGCACAGACGAAGGCGTATTCGTTTTGCGTGAATTATGCAGATACATGCCGAGAGGAAGTAACTCACAGGGAATCAATCCAGTGCGACTCACTCACATGTCTCCTCCGTTTTTTGGCATCCGAAAGAACGAAAGGCAGCCAGACAAAGCAGCAGCGCCAACACTATCTACCGCTTGCTTACCGCGCCTTCCCCTGTGATTTGTCATGCCGATTTCTTGATTGAGCTGGCATCATTACGTGGATACGGTCAAACAGATTCTCACACACACAGAATGACGTCAGACACGCATCTGTGCAGTGGGCAGCCAATCGATCGGCCTGTCCATCCCTTTTCGACGAACCGAGAGACAGACAGACAGACAGACAGCGACCCACACAACACAGCACGTGACCTCACGACACATACATAATCCTTCTGCGCTCCAGACCTGGCCCTGCCATGCATGGATTTGTATCGACCGACCGACGGGCGGATGGGTTTAAATTGTTCGTCAATGAGTCTCCTGCCTCGACTGTGCATTCATTCATTCATGCGACGATGGTTGTTACTTGCGTCCACGTGTTGTTTATGTTAGTGCTCTCATTCCCATGTCCCCCTGGTCCCATGTCTCTGTCTCCCCACCTCCCCCCGCGATGGACAAACGGATTCACACACACACGGAATAACGTCAGAGACGCATCTGTGCAGTGGGCAGCCAGTCGATCGGCCTGTGCATCCCTTTTCGAGTACAATTGACAGACCGACAGACAGCCACCCACACAACACGTGGCCTCACGACAGACGCACACAACACGGCACGAGACACGCATGGATAAATCAAGAAACAGACCAGTGAGTGATTGGTGGCAAGCTGCGGGCGATGACCCGCCTCCCCCTCCCCTGTGCGCGGCTGGCGGACAGGTGTCCGTCGCGCAAAAGAAAGAGATGCACAAATGAAAGCGGTGTGTGCAGGGTCCGAGGTTGTGCGCATGCATTAAAGTCAGTGGAAGTCAGCTGGCGCGTGAGGAAGTCCCTCCCACACATGCCCGCTTCGCATGTGTGGGAGAGCGCTCGTGCGCGGCCAGCATGGACGCAAAAATGACAAGTCAGCCGATCATGCTCATCCAGCCCATCCGCAGCAGGCAGCCAGCCAGAACATCCATACATAGTCAGACAGCAAGTTCAGACAGCAAGTTCAGAACTGGCAATCGATCCTGCTGAAGCAGCCACAGAGATTGAAGCAGAACGAAAAGTCGCCCAGTCGGAAACCTGATGGGCAGATGTCAATTGCAAAGCCGTTGGGAGCTGCCTGGATTGAACTCGGTATTAATATTCTGCAGAACTCCTGTCAATGGGAAAACACAACGAATCGCAATGCATCAAATCGCTTGCTTTGCTTTCTCACGTCGGCAGCGGTTTGGCCGCAAGAGCTAAAATCAGGGATGATTCCAGCAAATGGATCTCGGTTGCAAGAATCTATACGCTGCCCTGCGCTTGTGGCGGGGAGGTTGAAAGTGGGGACCGTTGGAAAGTCGAATTGATTCACTCGGGCTGAGTGAGAGAGAAGCCAATGCGTGAACAACAGGCGACCACATAATTTCTACAATGACGTACCCGCCATCGAAGCGCAGGCTGAGTCTCCTTCATTGCAAACCACACGCGCAGCACCTGGCCCACCTGGAAGCGTGTGTGGCGGCTCAAGTAAGAAACACGCGACGCCAGTGTCTCGCTTGCTTACTGATTCTGGAATCGTTCGTCGCGAGATGAAGTACAGGGGAGATGAAACGGATGGCTGATGGCACACAGAAAAAGAGACAGAGAACCAGCTCTCGATTTGACTTCGCTCGCTTACCTCCGGGCGCCAGCGGCAGGCAGTCCAGGTCGGTCGGGTCGCATTCAGCGGTTCGTCCATTGGGCGGCTCCTCGGTGGTGGTGAGGTCGGCGTCGGGGGAATCACCTGGGAAATATTCGGCGTCGGGAGAATCACCTGGGAAAAGAAAGGACCAGGAGAAGGAGAGGGCACGTTGCAGATCTGCGTGCAACCGTGGCGTGGCTCACCATCGTCTTCGGGTGCGAGTTTGCGGAGAGGGGAGGGGCCGCCGACCGCGAGAGTCACGAGGAACAGGAGCCCAAGGACGCGAGCAAACATCGTCATGAGGGAGGCTGGCTCAGCTGAGAAGGAAGGAACGAGGCGAGAAGGAAAGGAGGGGAGAGGGGAAGAGAAAGACACACAACCAGGGAGGAAGGAGACCTGCGGGAAGGATGGGGAAATTTGCCGTACGTGAATGAGAAATGACGCTACCGGCTCCCGCTCCCGTTACTGCTTCCGTTGCTCTGCGCTCCCTCACAGAAACAAAAACAAAAACAAATTCGTGTTTCCGTACTGGCCAGGATGGCCGTTAATTTCCAAATCCTCCTCCCAGCATATTTCACTCGGGTCACAATGGGGTTTCCTCTCCACCGATCTATCACGATCAGACAGCTGGGCAATCGACGTTCAGAGACGGCTGGTGTTGCTGGTGGCCTGCTAACCTGCTGCCACACGTGCTGCATGAGCTGCGAGATGAGGCTCAGCTCTTGGCGGACATCATACATGTAAAGCTGCCTTCCGGTGAGCAACAGTCTTATGAAGGCATACATGTAAAGCTGCCTTCCGGTGAGCAACAGTCTTATGAAGGCATAGACGGCTGACGCGCTCGTTGTTTCGCTCCCGTCTGCCGTGCCGTGCTTACCTCCACCCCGCATGCATGCTTACCTCCTGCGGCTTACTTCCTTACCTCCCTGTCATTGCAATGGAGAATCAACACAACAAAAGTCCCGGCCATCGTGACGAAGGTGCTCGCCCTTATGGTAGGAATCTCGATAGCTGCCAGCAGTGGCGTTTTTTGTTCGTGTTTGTCTTTCTGATCGTTGCCGACGACTCGTGCGCGGATCGATTGACAATAATCCAACACCTGCTTCTCATCATGCGTGTGTCTCCATGTCACCGACAATCCCGCCCGTATATGAGCCAGCTACATAATCTGTCAGCCGACAGTCGCCATGCAACAGAGAAGATGACATGGATGAGTTCGGCCACACGCACACGCGCATTTCCACGCGACTTGCTTAACTGCTTGTGACGCGGGCTGTGCGAAAAGACATAGAAAAGAAACACGAAGAACAAGAACGAACGAAGAGGGAGATACTCTAATTGGTGGAGAGACCGCTCTCAAAAACAAACAGAGGCCAACAAGAGGGGAAAGACAAGAAAAGGACAATTGTGTGCGCGAGCGAGCAGGCCCCGCCCCCACCTCCCATCCCCCATGGTGACTGTACACACACGTGTTTGCCTGGTCCAGTGTGCACTGGCGCATCAGTGACGGAGCGTGCTCGTTTAGCCTACAGCCTCCCTCACACATCGCCAGATCAGTCAGGTCCCGCCAGGCCTGCTCACATCCACCGACGAGGACATACGCTACACTCCTTGACCGACAATGACATCAAGCACACAGACACGCAATCCGTTGTGTGAAGACCAGCCCAGTGTTGCTATAGACACAAGCAAGAGACATATGCACGATGTCCAGGACGATCTACGGGACCCTTCACTCTGCAGGGCCACGACAAAACAAAACGTACACCAACACCAGGCTTGTCGGTGTATTTTTCTATTGCACTTACAAGTGCACTAATTGAGGGCTGCATCCTCACTTAGTACACCTGTTGCGCAGCCAGGATGTTGCGCTCGAGGGCCGTGCATTCCACTCTGGCCAGGCTGTTTCCCTGCCGCAGAGAACGATCACCTGAGGCACGCGCAGATAACAAGACATGAAACAGAAACAACAGTGTGTGTATGTGTGTGTGTGTGTGTGTGTTTTCCCACTCGTGTGTACCTGTCAGGCGGGCACATGCCTGCAGCTTCTGCTCGGCGGCTGCTTGCATATCGGGATGCTCGTGTGCCCACACATGGTCACATGAGGCCCTGAAGACCACATACATCCAAACTCCCGGTCCTTCCCCTTGTCTGCCTGTCTGCCTGCCTGCCTGTCTGCCTGTCGTCTGTGTGCCCATCAGGTACCAACCAGGAGCAGTCGCGCTTCCAGCAGTAATGATCGAAGAGGTGGCACTCCCAACAGCACTTGCCATCTGGCTTCGCTGCAGAAAGAGAGACGAAGCACGGAGCGAACAAACGCACACACCCATGAGGTCTGTTTGAGCGCCTGTGTGCACGTGGGATTGACATACGGGTTGGGGCTGGTGCGGGCGTCGTTTTCTCGCGGCCGTCACGCTTGTCACGACGATGGCAGGCGGAAAAGGAGCACTCGTATTTCCAGCAATCGTGGTCTGAACGCCAACAAACCGGAGGCAAGCATTAGTGGCCAAGCATGTGGTGCCAACAAGGAGCTCTCTTGATCCCTGCTTGTTGTCTGTCGTGTCCTGCTGTGTAGTTTCCGTACCGAAGAGGTGACAGTGGAAGCAGCACTTGTCCCTATCACCATCATCAGGGAACTTGTCACGGGGAGGCTTCTCTGCAGCGCACAAGAGCGACACACAGTCAGGCAGATGTCGGCCATGCGGTGGGTAGAGCAGCCAGGAAAGGCGTGTGTCCTACTGGTCGTGGTGGGAGGAGCTGGGGTTGTAGTTGCCTCAGGGGTCGTCTCGGCAGGCGTCGTCGCATCAGGTGTGGGTGTAGGCGTATCGTCCACCAAGGGAGTGGTCGGCGTGACTTCCTCTGCCGGGGTCGGGCACACACACACACACACACACAGGCAGGCAGGCAGGCAGGCAGGCAGGCAGGGAGGCAGGGAGGCAGGACACACACCACATGGCACATGGCACATGTCTCATGCCCTCCCGCCCCCCTCCCGTCCCTACTGGTCGTGGTCTCGGGCTCCGGTGTGGTGGTGGGCTCGGGCGTGGTGGGCTCAGGCGTAGTGGGCTCAGGCGTGGTGGGCTCAGGCGTGGTGGGCTCAGGCGGAGGACGGCAATCAGGGTGCTCGGGCGTCGCAGCGCAGTCGACGGTCTCCGCTGCGCAATCAGGGTGCTCGGGTGTCGCAGCGCAGTCGACGGTCTCCGCTGCGCAATCAGGGTGCTCGGGATCCGCAAGACAGTCAGGAGACCCATTCTGGAGCCGACGTGCAGGCACGCCGGCGCGAGGCACTTCCTGTGCCGCCGCCAAGGCGAGCAGGCCGACTAGTGGCTGAGCAACACTCAAGGCGACAAGCATGGCGAAGATCAGCAGGCTCCTCATGATGAACTCAAGCAGCTGGATGGAAGAGAGGGCGCCTTCTTCTTCTCCTTTTCCCCCCTTTCCACGTCGGTTAGCGCCGGAATCCGAAACGTACGCCAGTAACGCATCTTCGTAAACTGCGCCAATCCGCACCTCAAGGAAGCCTCTTCAATGAGTAAGGGATGTTCGTGACGTGGGAAGATCCGCTCCCGCTTGGGACGTGCCATCTCCGCCTGAGGTGAGTCCGTCAGTCAAGTTCGCCTCACACCGACTGATCTTATCTGCTTGTCTTTGTTCAGGATGAGCGCCCGAGGCCGATAGGCCTCGCCAAGAGAGAGAGCGGCCTTCATCCAGAAGATCATGAGATGATTGGGCTCCCGTTAAACTCTTTGCAGAGGCGAAGCTTGTTTGGGGCAGGCGATCCATTTCAGAATTCATCCTGAATACTACATACACACAAGGAGTCGACGATACGACGCACGAAACTCATTCAGTCATTCATACAGAGCAAGGTTGAGGCACACGTGTAGAAGATAATTAGCAGCTTGAAGAGAGGAAGGCTTAATACATCTCTGCTCCCCCTACCTACTGTACCAACCTAGCTACCGCCCACACTCGTCTCTCCGTCGGTCTGCCTCGTCTCGTCTCGCTTCCAGTCCACCCACCTCGCTCCCTTGCTTGCTCGCTCGCTTCCTCCGTTGGTCATGCTTGCAGACAGTCAGTCAGTCAGTCACGCACATCCACATCATGCTTATAAGTGAATCACGCACACACATGAAGGCCAGCCGTTTGTCGCACATGCATGCACAAAACACCCGACTAGACACAACACACGCACAGACATACATACATACAGGCGGACAGGAAGGCAGTCAGTCAGTCAGTCAGAAAGGCGTGCATGCATTCAGGCAGGATGAAGAAGGCTTATAAATAGCTCACAAGACAGACAGACAGACAGACAGTGGTCGGCCGGTCGCATCCAGTCGTTTCCGGTCCTCTCTCTTTCCATGATAGCATACAGGAGGCAGGCCTGACCGACAGAGCTAGGTAGGTAGGAAGGGAGAAAGGTAGGGAGGAAGGTACGTATGTGGGTAGCTGCGGAGCTTTGCTTATAAATAGTTACACCAACGATGACAAGAACACGCAATCACACTCACTCATTCACACGGGAAACACGCTAACAGACAGACAGACGTGCAGACATGAATGACATGTACAAATTGTATAAATAGCTATATAAAGAGTACGTGGTGGGGAAACCATCAGGTCCCTCACACGCATCCATCCATGCATCCATCCATGCATCCATGCAGCCAGTGAGTCAGCCCGTCCGTCGCTCCTCTCATGACTGTTGATTGCCCGCCCTGCCCACAGCCGCATCCACAACACTCAATAACAGGACATACGGGGACAGACAGACAAAGAGAGAGCTCGATCCAGAACCATCTAGATCTGTCTTCCCCGCCCAACACATCAGGCGTCTCTTCTTGACGTTGCACGCCCAACACAGACAGACAGACAGACAGACTCAGAGACCCCGGGCGGACAATGCTCACGCAGCGAGCCGCACACGACAGCGCAAGCACAACACCGTCACGTAGCGGGGAGGGGAGAGTGCGGGAGCGAAAATGAACTCAGAGCCATCATGGAATGGAATGCGCCAAGGAGAGAAAAAGGCGAGGGAACAAAACAGACATGATGCCATGCACGAATGCATGCATTCACGTGTCGCAAAAAGATATTAGCGAGCAGAGGACTCGGGCAAAAAGGAACACAGGCGATCAAAAAGGATACAGGCGCTTTGGTGGGCCGGCCGCACGGACAGATAATGGACGAGGAGAGTCAAAAGAGCGAGGGGCGGGAGGGGCGGGGTGATGAATCGAGGCCTGCAGAGAATTCAAATACCCACATTAGCACGCACACACCCACGCACCCACTCAGGTGGAAGAAAACACCGAAAGGAGCTCTCTTAGAAAATGACGTCTAACTCATCCATCCATTCATCGATCCACCGACCCACGTCGAAAAAGACTTATAGCCAGTTATCGTCCAATCATAACACAACAGACACACACACCACACTAGGCCAGAAAAGAGAGCACGGACAATCGGAGGGAGAGAGGGGAGGGAGGGGGGGAAGGGGCTGGAAAAAAAACTGCTGGGCCGCAGACGAAAAGAATCACAGTCACATACACAGAGAATGTCGCACATTCATTCCGAGCATCCATCCATCCATCCGGTGGTGCCCTCGCTCGCCCGCATGTGATGCGACGCACTAAATGGCGGCCGCTGTCCAATCCACGCCATCCATGTACACACACAACACGCCATCCATGTACGTACACCATACCACAGACCCCACATGCCCTCCCTCCCTCCCTCCCTCCCTCCCCTCCTTGCGTCTCCTCTGCCATTGACAGAGAGTAAGGACGCACACACGGACGGCCAAAGAAAGGCGGACGACTCACAGAAGACCAAACAGGCCAGGGCGAGGCCTAGCCAGCTCGGTACGTTTAGACAGAAGACGGCACATACAATGCAATGCGACTGTCGCGGCGATGGATGGGTGGGTGGGTGGGTGGGTGTCTGTATGTCTGTCTGTCGTCCTCTCTCCCTTTTCCTTCCTCTCCCTAGCTAGCTACGATCAATCACTAAATGGATTGACTGGTGGCATGGATGCCAAAGCATGGCAGCTAGGAGGACACCAGACAAGGAGAGAGAAGAGAAGTGACGTACACGGTGCGATGGATGCCAAAAGGATGAAGGCCTCTCCCGCTGCCCTCTCTCCCACTACCCTGGCTGTGTGATGTGTGAGCACGAAAGCAGTCATTGATCAGTCAGTGGGCGGGGGCATGCAGCCGACAGCGAGTACAATAAGGAAATACCATGTGTGCGTGCGATGGGTCCGTGTGTGAACGTTCAAATGTGAATGGGACTCCCTCACTCCCTCACTCCCTCTCCCTGTCCCTCTCTCTGCGACTGTATGGGTGCTATGGAATGTGTGGCTGGCAAGACGAATAATACCCCACGTGAACTATCAACCGGAATACATACACGCAACGCAACAGTGCATCCGTCCGTCCACCCATTCGTCTCTGGCCACCGTCATCCATCCATCCATACACACAGACATACACGCACACGACCGCGCGGGGGGCAGCATCGCGTGCGTGTACCCTTGCCTGTGACCGGCATCATTCATTCGTCCATTCATTTCATTCTGCGTACGTATGGATGTATGTGTGCATGTGTACGCTTGCAGCGAAAAAAACTGCCAAAAGCACCAATATTGTGACTCTCAGTCGATGTGCGATGTGCGATGTGTAAGCAGGTCAGTGTGTTCCCCCTCTCTGCCCGTGTGTATGTCTCGTACGGCCACGAGTTCATCCATCCATCCATCCGCGACACAACAAAGTGTCGAAACGAAGAATCTGGCAGAAACAAAACAAAAACAACATCAAACAAACGATCATGACACACGGCAGCACCAGCAGCACACGCACAGCAGCAAAGGAGGGGGTCGACCGGCACGAACACACGACAGACACATAACGCAACAATACAACACACAGGTGGGTGCACCACGGCGGCAAGCACGTAGGCAGGCAGGCAGACAGGCAAGAGGGCGATTTAACTTACAGGAAAGGGCCACTATGCAACCATCCATCCATCCATCCATTAGTACTAGGCAGACAAACGACATTCATTCATTTAGCAGATGGACAGACAGACAGATCGACTGACTGGCGTGAACAGGCAGCAGGCGGACAGCCAGGCATGCATCCGCCGACCAACACGACAGAGAGCGAGCGAGCGACGATGAGAGATCCGAGATGCGATGCCAACGAGCCGGGCAGGCAGACCGACGCGAGGGAAAGTGAGCTAGCTCAATCAAACCAACCAACCAACCAACCATTCACGGACACAAACTTACCCCACAACCAATCATCCCATCCATCAACTTACCCAACCAACCATGCACACACCCACTCACCCACAGTCACCCATTCCGCATCCCTCCTGTCCCCCGTGCCCCTCTCTCCTTCCCTCCCCCCCTCCCCGCCCCTGTAAGAGGACGTCACTAGTCCAATCAGCCACCCATGGACAGACGATTAATTACTCACCTTACATCCATCCATCCATCCCAGCCAGACATACAGTCAGTAGTACCAATCACTCTTTCGGTCACGGATATTCTCGTCCACATCTCGTTCGTTCAGATCATTCCTCGTATTTCTCGGGCTCAAGCTTCTTCAGATCTGACGCACGCACGGATGGGCGAGCCAGCCAACGCACACACATCTCATCTATCTGTTTGTCAGTCGGTCTGCTGTGTCTCTCTCTGTGTCTGGGCACCGACCTTCTGCCGTCATGTGGCTGCTGAGGCGCTCCAACTCGGGATTGATAAGCGGGGGAGACTGGTTACGTCACCAACACACGCACACAGACAGAGAGAACCAAGGGCGAGTGTCTATCCTGACTGTGGCTCCTTTGCTCGTCCGTCCTCAGTGCTCACTCACCGGCAGCCGTCCAGACCTCCTCTCTGCTCTCGGTGGGGCTGGAGCTGGGGCGGGAGAGGCCTCCCCAGCACCGCCTGCATCACCAGCCCCCCCTGGGAACAGCTGCTGAAACGACAGACTCGACACGCCGCTCCCAGGCGAGCCACCGCTCGCACCCAATGGCGGCTCGGGGACACGCAGCCTAGGGGCGGGCGAGAAGGGCCGCATGGTGGCCATCATGCCGCTCTTGGCCGAAAGATATCCCCCTGGGCCCGGCACCTCGGCCATGGACGACGGCATGGACGGCTGGGAGACGGTGGTGGCGCCTGAGACGCTGAGGCCGACGGTGGTGGTGGTGGTGGTTCCGGCCGACGACACGCCCGTCGTGGGCATCCCTCCTTCGTGCATATCCCTGTAGACATTGAGGAATGCCGTCCCCGAGAAGCCCCGCCTGGGGGTGCCGCTCTCAGCGGCAGCTGCCGGCAGACTGGTCGACCGGGGGATAGGGGCCACATCGGGCTGCGACGCAGCTATGGGGCTTGCCACCTCCTTGGGACTCGATGACGCATCCTTGGTCGACCGTATGCGGCCCGGCCGGGCGGGAGGTGGGGGTGGGGGCGGTGGGAGGGTGGTCGGAGAGATGTACCGGGGCTGGCGCAGGGGCTGCGCCACGGGCATGTCGGGGAGCAGCTGATAGGTGTCTACTCCTCCCGCGCTCTGCTTGGACGGCCTGGACGGGTGGAAGCGCCTGCTGGTTCGACGGGTGTCGCCGTGCGGCCGCTTGAAGCCGCCGTCGCCGTCATCCTCCATCGCCACAGTGTCAATAGACTCCAGGGACGCCCCGGCGCCCCCCACATCGACCGACGGCAGGGAGGTCTGTGATGAAGACGGAAGAGCACCTGTGTTTTATGTGCAGAAGGACAGACAGCATGAGTGCACGCATTCGGTTGTGGGACGGTCTTCCCTCCGTCCCTCATTGACAAACAGACTGACAGACTGACTTGCTTGCATCATGGTGGTGCTCGTGAGCGATCCGTAGGGCGTGGACGTGAGGGCGCTGGATGTGCGCGACAGGCTGGGAGGGGGAGGCGGCGGCGCCCACAACGGACGACCGGTCGCCGACGTCAGGGGCAGAGGCAGCCCACGCGACGGCCCCCTCACGGACGGATGCAGACTCCCGGACAGAACGTGACCCATCGTGTCTGGCACCACTGGTTGGTTGATCAATCCACCCACCCACCGACACACACAATACATACAGCACCAAAACACGCACCAATTCCAATGCGCCCATCCATTGCTCCCTCCCTACTCTTCCGTGTGTACCTGTTCGTATAGCCTGGTCGCTGCGGCTTCTTTCCTCTTCCCGTTGCCTCTCCGCCACCACCCGGGCGATGGTCTCGGGGGAGGGCGTGATGGGCAGCGAAACCGCCACCAGAGGGACGTCTCTGCCCAGGTTAGGAGGCCCAGGCTCCACAAACCCGCCCCCTGCAGCCGTCCTGGGGTGCCTGCTGGGCGGGGGCGGGGGCGGCTGAATGAATCGCGGTCGCCTCAAGTCCTCAATGCTGGGCAGACGGGGCATCATGATCGACCCGTAAGCCTCGCCGGCCTCCGGGAGCTCGTGCAGACTGCTGGGCCTCGCCTGGCCGTGAGCGAGAGACATGGCGGGAGGGGGAGGAGGGGGAGGGGCCGGGCCAGACGGGAGGGACGCGATGGTCGGTGAAGGGCCGGCGGATAGGGGGGGCTGGGCTGGCCTCGGAGGCGCGAAGAGCGCGCGAGCTCTGACGCGTTTGGATGGGCGCTGCCTCCTCCTGACGGAGGGTTCTGATGGTGCGTGCTGAGCGGCGGGTGTGGCGGCGGTGATGATGACTTGTGGGGGCGGGAAGTCGGGAGCCGGGGGGGACAAGGGCTCCTCCTCTTCTTCTTCCTCCCCCTCTTCGATGGCATGAGGCACTGATGGTGGTGGTGGCTGCAGTGCACACACACACACACACACACACCCGGTTGTCGTGTATCTCTGTGGGTTGCATATCTCTCACTCACCGGCTGTTCTGGTTCCTCCCCTGTGGTAGTGGTCTCCTCCGCGACGCCCAGCAGCCGCCCGGCAATCTCGTTGTTGCTGCTCTCCAGCGGCAGAGAGCTGAACCCAGACACAGGCGACTCACTCACCGACAGCGACGACGTCGTCTCAACCTCCCTGCCCCTCAGCTGCCGGGGCGGCTCCACCCTCTTGTGCTGTGGCGGGGGCGCCACACGCCCGAGGGCCGGCGCCTCGGGAGAAGTCTGTGTCTGCGCGTCCGCGAACCCCTCGCCCGTCGCCTCTGGCTCCCGTGCGGTGGGTCTGGGTGTTGTGAGCGTCTCGAAGCTGCTGGCTGATAATGATTCGGCGACGTGCTCGGGGTGGAGCCGCTGCATGGTGGCGGCGAGGGCCATTGGCGGCCGGGCACGCGCATGGACGGGGGCGCCGCCGGGCGGGAAGGGGGGAGGGTGGATTGAGAGGACGCTGCGAGATAAGTCGCCGGGTGGCGAGGGGAATGCAAATGGGGATGAGGTGGCCATGCGGTCGGTGCCCAGGTCGGATGTGGATGCGGCAGCGAACTCGGCCGAGACGGGGATGTGTGGGATGGATGGGATGGATGGGGGGATGGGTGGGAGAGGCGGATAGGGCGATGGGATGGGCGGCGGGTGTGGTGGTGTCAATACGACCGCAGAGGTCGGGCGAGCGGAGGGAACTGACGGCAGTGGAGGGGGCGGGGGCGGGTATCGTGGAGCGGGGACAGAGGGCGGCGCCTTGCCGGACACAAAGAAGCTCTGCTTCGGACGCAGCTCCTCCACACCTGAGCGAGCGAGCGAGGCAGCGGGCAGCCATCCGCACTGGTATGTCAGGCTTCTTGTGTTGTAAATAACACGTAGGTACCGTGTGCATGTCTGCAGAATTGTCCTCTCTTGCAGGTGCCTCTTTTCCAGAAGACGCACAGCGATGTCTTGTAGAAGTCATCGGTCGACCGCAGCTCGTCCTCACCTGCACAGTCCACACGCAGTCCATGCATACGCGCCAAGGTCAATTGCTTCGTGCCAATCAGTCAGTCCCATTGCTTTCCATCTGTCCGTATTTACCGTGTGCAAAAGCACAGTGTGGGTCTAAGCATTCGCCCTTCTGGAAGTTCTCACACAGCCGGGTCTGTGTCGCGCCCACACCACAGCACAGCACAGCCATCGATCCAGACACGCGTGGGAACATGTGCTGTTTCTGTCTGTCTGTCTGTCTGTCTGTCTCTGTCTTATCATCTCTGCAGTGACTGACAGACCTTGGTAAGGTCGGGTCTGGTTCGAACTTCGCTCTCGGAGTGGGCGTACCGGCAACTCTCACCCCTGGTGCACTCTCCCTGACCAGAAAGAGAGAAAGACACACAAAGCGAGCAGGAATGAGGTCATGAGACGCTGGCGGCTGGCTGTCCACATGAGTACATCAAGTGACTGACGCTCACCTGTTGCCAGAATCTGATGAAAAGACAAAAGCACAGACAGCAGAAAAAAGAAACACAGGCAAACGAATGAACGAACGAGGAGTGAACATCTTTCCTTCTCGTGTGAGTGTCTTTGTGACTGACTGACTGACTGACTGGGTGTGACTGACTGACTGGGTCACATACACACACATATATGTACATACATACATACACGTGTACATACTTGCAGATTCTGGTTTTGTAGAATTGTGAGGCGGCAGCACTGGACGAGGCTGGGTGGGCCGAGGCCTCTCCACCAGTGACTGGCGGAACTGGATCGGCCGTCTTCACCTCAAATACGGACGACACTAGGCCAATCTAGCTACCTAGCCGCCGACCTACCGCCACTCTCTACTTATATGTACCGATGTATGCGTGTGAAACAGATACGCACGCTAGGCTGACTGTATTGGGCTGTCTTGCTTTGCCTCCCTCGCCACCCCTCTTGTCTGTCTGTCTGGCTGTCTGTGCCCCTATGTGCGTATGTACGTATGTGTGTATGTAAGTATGCGTACAGATGATGATACACGAATACTCGTACGTATGTATGTATTTGTGTGTATGTATGCCCGATCCTCTTGTCTACGGCTGTGCGCACCGATCTGTGTGTGTACGAATGCGTCTGACTAGGTGCCCACACACACACACACACACACTCGGAAAGACAGTCAGACAAACAGACAGTCAGTCAGACCAGACAGTCAGAAAGGCAGGCAGACAGTCAATCCCCCCCTATCCCTCTCGCGAACCCGTACCACGTGTCAATCAAGTCAGTCACAGCACTTGCCTCACTCTCCCGCCTCTGCTGCCCGGCATGCACCCACCCGCTTCTGGCTCTACAGTCTCAGAAAGCAGACAGAGGTCAAGCAGCCGGCCACTGAGCCACCGACCAGACATCCACGCATCCACACACGCCACGCACCCGAAAGCAACACACCACAGAGAGGGAGCAACACACGAGCAAGATAGATCTGGCGCGCGTTGCCTCGAAAATGCGTTCCGACGCCTGGGTTGGGGATGGCAGCAGACAGGAGGCGTGGCGTCGTCCCCCAAACAAGGGATCTCTGCAGGGAAGAATGGATCGCCTCTGCGAGCTAAGAAGGGAGGGTGAGAGAGGCGGATGGCGTTTGTGTGTTTGTTGAAGGCCGCTTGTGGATGAGCACGCAGCAGGGGAAGGAGGGCGTGATTGCAGATCTTCCGCAGACACTCACACCACTGTCCGAGGCGGGTAAGTAAGGAGGAACCAAGGGCTCACCACTCACTACACGCACGCGACAAGAGTCATCCGTGACTTTATGGATGCTGCTGCTGTGCTGTGATGTGCGTGCGCTCGCCTTGCTTCGCCGCGCTTGCAGGCCCTTTCCCAGCATCGTTGCTTCATCAGACCCATCCAGATGTTGCTCCGTCAGCACCGCCTCCGCTTCACGAGGGCATGCCGGGTCAGTCAATTAGCGAGCGACAGAATCAGCCGCCACGATATGCATATCAAAATGTATCTATCTCTCTCTCTCTGCTGTGGGCCATGTGCGTCGCCTTGTGTGTATTGCGGGCACTGATTGCAGCAGCCACCCCTCCCCCCACTCGCCTTTTCCCTCCACCCTCTGCCCGCCCTCCGTCCCTGACCGAGCCGCCAGACACCGCTGCCATGCCATACGAGGCAGCAGCGCGCGCGTCTCGCGACCCACCGCCTTACGAGGCACACGGTGACCCCCTCTGCAGGGCCTCACCACAGCCCACACAGCAACCAACCTATCCACCACCCTCGGCATCATCGGCAGCGACAGCAACAGGAGGAGGGAGAGCACCAGGGCCGAACTATCGACCCCCGCCTCCCTCAGTGCACCAGCGGATGACTCCCCCTCCCCCACCGCCACCGCCCCCACCGCCACCACCACCGTCGATGCCCCTCCAGCAGAGAGAGCGAGGCGGTGCTGAGAGGGTCAGGGCCGGGAGGCCGCCGCGGACCGACCCGCTGCGGCATCTGAACCATAGGCGTGTATACCACACTGCAGGTGGGCAGGCTGAGTTCGTTTGCCGTCGTAAGGTGCTGGACGAGCCCAACTGGGAGGGGTACTTCGAGTGCGAGTGGGAATTCGTCTATGTGCCGCCCGGTAGGCCTACCGCCAGGGAAAGGTGAAAGAAAGAAGGTATCTGGCCATCTGTGAATGTCGACCGTTGTTGTGGTGGCGCGTGCATTGCATTGTATGTTTGAACAGATTTCAAGATAGTGTGGAGTGCGGGTGACGATCCGATGGAGTATCGGCTGGTGCTCAGGGACGAGATCAACCAACGCATGAGCCAACTGGATGACAGAATACAGAAGCTGCAGGTAAGCAGAGCAGACCGGACAGACAGGCCTCAGAGAGCACTCTACTCACATGCCATGACCCTTTCCTTGTGTTGGTTTGCAGAAGAAAAACGACGCCCTGACAGAGGAGGTGAAGCGGCTGCGTGAGACGGCCGCGCCAACCCCTCCGCCGCCCGAAGACCACCCGGCCATCGAGTACTGGCGGACCAGATACCTCGCACTCGCCAATGCCGTCAGGCTCGGTGCAGTACAGCCCGGAGACGCAGCGGCACACGCCCAAATGGTGAACAAGGAGACCAAAGACACACAGAAAAGGTCGTCACTCACTGTGATGTTATGCTTGTGTGTATGTGGGTGACTCTCTGTTGTTTGCAGCCGCCTGCTGTGCCGCCTCACCGCGCGCCACCCCCGTTGATGCGGCCACCTGGGATCGACCAGCCCCCACAGCACCCACTGAGGCCCTCGGCCGCTCCGCAGACACAGACGCCCGAGATGGAGAGGCTGGGTGTCCAGACGCAGTTGCAGGGGAGCTGGCAAGGGCCCCCTCCGTCTGACCTGCCGTCGTCTCCATTCACTCTCAAGGAGAGGGCGCTGCAACACCAGCACCATCAGCTGCAGCAGATGCCCGCGTACCCTGTGTCAGCAGAGGCCCAGCAGCAGCAGCAGCAGGTCCCACCCGGCTTTGCGCAGGAGGCTGCTCAGGGCTGGTTGGGGGGTAGTGGTGCGCCAGGGCCACTACCACCAGCAGCAGCAGCAGCGGCAGCAGCAACAGGATCTGCTTCAGGTGGTGCAGCGACAGGTGGCGGTGGGGTGTCGACTAAGTATGGCGGGCAGCTGGCTGTGTGCGTGGGGGCCTTCGATGCTGTCGAAGACACAGAACTCAGACTCAGAGAAGGTCAGTCAGTGAGTGAGGCTAGTGAGAGCAGGGCAAGACAGCGGGCCGGGCCGACGTGTATGTGTATGTGTATGTGTATGTCTGCATGTGTTCTCTGTCCCCTTAGGTGACATAGTGGAGGTGTTGTCATCCCATCCCCGGGGATGGAGCTGGGGGCGACTCGTCTCATCAGGGTGAGGGACGGAGGGAGGGAGGGAGGGAGAATACATTCTTTGGGCGAATTCAAGGATGGCTCTCTGTCTGTCTGATGGATGGATGTCAGTGTGGTTGGCGGCGAAGGCGGCGGCCCGTCATTCGGTTGGTTTCCCGCAGAGCTGCTGCGGCCCTATCATGAAGCCCAGGCTGGTGGTGCAGCTGCTGGGAGGGGGGAGGGGTAGCGTAGGTTAGGGTAGGGTAGCTAGTGCCATGTGTGGTGTGGTGTGCCTGCGGGGTGGGATGGGAAGAATGCGTGTATATGGGTGGGCAACGGGTGGATGTGAGTGGGTGGGTGCACTGGGGCGGGGGGCGCCTGTCTGTCTGACTGTCTGTCTGTCTGTCTGTCGTCCGCCTGCCTGTCTGTGCGCGCGAGAAAGATGGTGTGAGCCATTTCCGTCTTCACATGCCTGTCGGTCTGTGTGTGTGTCTTTATTACGTTTATTGCCTTTTGTGTGTCTTTTGTTGTGTTGTCTGTGTTCGGCGTCCGCTTTCTCGGTTGCTCACTCACTTGTAATCTCTTTCAACCAACCAACCAACCAACCAGCCAGTCGCTTGCTTGCACAGCTTTATCACACTGCCATAAAGTGTGTGTGCATGGGTGGGGGATTTGTTGCTCGTGTGTCGCCTTACACCGCATCAGTGCGTGAGAGAGTCAGTGAGTCAGTGAGCGAGAGACTGCAACAATGGCGCGCATGCGTGTCTCTGTCTGTCTGTCTGTATGTGGTGGGTGGGTCATTATGTGTGCCGATGAGTTTATTGACAGGGGCCCTTCCAGGCACTGGCATACAGACAGACAGACAGACAGACATGATTGCCCCCGTGTCTTGTCGTTTCTCGTCCTACTCACCTGTTGTTCCTTTTGTCAACCGACCAGTCGCTCGCTCGCTCGCTCGCCCCCTCGGGCAGCGATTGTCGTCCTTCTTTCTTGCCCTAGTCGCGATGTCGCACGTGTTTTGTTGCACTTAAGCACCTCACTTAGTGACAGTGGTCCCACGCCCAGAGAGAGACAGTGAGAGAGAGAGCGTCAGAAAGCGTCAAAAGACAGTGTCACTCTGGTCGAGTCGTGCTTAGCCCTCTCTGCCTGCCTGCCTGCCTGCCTCTCCCTCCTCCCCTCTCTGCCCTTTTCCTGAATGAATGCATGAATGCACCCATGGCATATGATAATGGATGGGCCACGTTTAGTAGTGAGTGAGTGAATGATGCCAAACGACCCGACCCCCCTCCCGCACCCATACGTCTGTCTGTCTGTCTGTCTCGTGTCACGCTGCCCTGGCCTCGTATTTTTGGATTCCTCTTTCCACACAATCTATCTCTTGCCTTTCTATCTATCTGCCTGTTTGCCTGACTGCCCGTCTGCCTGTCGACGATCCGCCGAGCGCTCGTGAGCAAAGCAGCCAAGGAGAAAGACGAGAAGGACAAAGGAAAGGGCCCGTCCGCTCGTCCGCTGGCTGATTTCAACCCCTCTCATCTCTTGTCGCCCCTTGATTGATTGAGGCGGGTATTTTTTAACACATACCATACGTACACACATATGTACGCACGAGATGACAATGAATGGTGCGTTTAGACGTACGTACGTACGCGCATCGCATAGGTGGGGCGGGTGTGTGTGATGGCCGCACTTATGCGCCAGGTTTTGAGTGAGTGACTGAGTGAGTGAATGAGTGAATGGTTCATATGGGCAGACGGGGGTGGGGGGCAGGCAGCCAGGGAGGGAGGGAGGGAGGGGGGAAGGGAGGGGCCTGGATGTGGGATTCGTGTCCGTGCCGTCGATGTATCTGCTGCATGTGGTCGATTGTTTTATAATTCTTACAATGACTCGTGGGGTTCATGTGGCTGTGCACGTAAGCGTGTCTGAATGTTTTATAATTCCTACGACTCACTGACTGACCACCTGCATGGCATGGCGTCGTGGCGCTCTCTCCCGTAGAGCGCTTTCGTGTGTGCATGGGCGGGTGGGTGGGCCTGGAGAGAGGGAGGGAGGGAGGGAGCGGGGTGGTGTTGCAGTGAGTGTCTGAGTGATTGATAGAGTCAGTTCAGAGGAGATTGCATCATAGGCCATTCTTCATTCATCGATTCGTTGTCAATGTTCCCGGGATGTGACTTCCTGCATTCGCTGATGGGCGGGCGGACGGGCGGGTGCGTGCGTGCGTGCGTGAGAGTGAGGAGGGTATTTGATAATAACAATAAGTCAAGTACATATCTCGATTGACCGGCCTCAATACATACGTACGCTACTGAGTGAAACGAATATTCGAGTGAGTCGCCTTGCCTCTCTCTGTGAGTCTGACCTAGTGCCTGTGTGACCACTGACTGACAAGAAATGCATTCTGTGTGTGCAGGTGAGTTCCTCCTGTCTGTCTGTCTGAGTGTCTGCGGGAGGGACTGACTCACTGACACGGATTGAGGCAGTCCCTCCTGCCTGCCTGCCTGCCTGCCAAGATGGATGTTTGCTCGCCGATGGGAGTTTTTCACCTGTAAGTCTTTCTCACTGGTGGGTCTGATGCATGCTGGGCTGTGGTGTGTTGTGTTGTGCTCCGTTGTGTTGCGTCGCGTTTGTCACTGACTGCCTGCCTTGCCTTCTGTCCCCTCTCTCTATGTGCAGGTTTGTCATGACGAAACTCCTTCCATGGTGCGTGTCTGTGTGTATGGGAATTAGCACTCATTCAACTCGATTCTTCCAAACAGTCAGTCGGTCGGTCGGTAAGTCAATCAGTGATGTAACCAATCGTGTCTTTCGGTCGCATTTCGCCACTTGGTTCGTGTTGAAGAAAAAGGCACATTTATCAAATGTACACCGGCCGTCGTCGTATTTCGGTCACATTCACACCATTCGCTCGCTCACTTCCTCTCCTTGTCCAGCAAGTCGTGCTGCGTCTGGCTTGTCGTCTTGTCCTCCGGCAAATCGTCTGCACCGCACCCCAAACCACACACAGCGCACATCCCATGATGCGTTCCTCAGCGCATCGCATCACGGCCCCCCTTGGCTCAGCTCACCTCCCAGGTAGTCCTTGATGAGTATCTTGTCGTCGAGCCCCATGAGCATCTCGAGGTGCACCATGGAGCTCTTCATACCCGGCAGCCGCCGAATCGTCGAAGCCATCTGCCGCTCGACCTGCGTCTTCATCGCCAAACCTGGGCCGTACAGAAAGGCGTCGCGCTTGACCTTGCTCTCCTCGTGACGACGCACACCCTGACACACAGACGACACACAAGACAACACATCAGCCAATCAGCAAAAGAAACAGCCTGATCTGTGCGTGCGTTGCTTGTGCTGCCTGGTGCAGTGCTCACATTGGTCTGCATCTCCTCCACAGGGTGCTTGCGGTGCGCGTCGAGGGTGATGTTGCGAAAACCGTCGCGCATCATGTCCAGGGGCTGGACCCCTACCTGGGACAAGTCCTTCTCGTCCATCGCTGCCGTCTCGCGCGCCGTCTTTCTCCTCCTGCGGCTTCTGCACAGGAAGCGTTTCGTTTCACACCCTAAGCTCCATAAGGAGGTTCAACCCTCTCATCGCCCAACCAACCTCCGCAGCAGTCGAGAAATGGAAATAATGATGATGGCGCTGGGCGGGAGGTAGCAGTGCAGCTTCTCAGCTCATATGTCCGAGAGAGGGCGGTTCTACGGCGAGCAAGAGTTCACTCCGTGGCTGACCATCAGCCAGATCCTCTACCTGCAGGCCGTCTTCTGGTTTTCTTACGTCATCTTGGGCTCAGCTTTCGCGTTTCTGGGCGGCCTCCCCCTCTCGCTCTTTCCCTTCTTCTCCTATGTCCACTACTCATTCAGCTATGACAGGGGAATCGTGCTCTTCTTTGCCCTGCTCGCAAACTCCATCTTCGTCATGTGAGTGAGTAGAGTCGCCAGAGAGAGCCTAGCGGTGCTGACTGTCTGCCTGTCTGTCTGTCTGCCTGTCTGGCTGGCTGTCTGTCTATGTGGTCTCTCTGTCAGGGGCTATGTGGTTGCGGGGGCGGTCGAGCGGGCCAAGAAGTGTCTCGATTTCGTCTTCACCTGCCACTGCATCCATCTCGTCACTTGCTGGGGAGTCGGGGGATTCCCGCTGTCATGTAAGTAAGACGCACCCAGTATGCACACACGCGTCACACTGCTCGTTGATTGCTGGTGGTCAATGCATTGTGTGTGTGCTGCATCCATTCCATCCATTACGTTTGCATATCATCAGTTGGCTGGTGGATATCGAATATTTTGGCGGCCGTGTTTGCCACCATTATGTCGGAGTGCATCTGCGTGCGGTACGAGCTGCAGGAGATCAAGCTGCGGCACCACTCGGACGCGCAGAGCTCAACTTCAGCTTCAGCAAGCGCCATGAACGGCAGCAACATGGTGTAGATCCGCCGACCAGAGGAAGAGAAGGGCAGTGTGGGTGGGTGTCGATAGAAAGGGCGGCTGTCCGTCTGTGTGTGTGGTGGTGAATTCACTCGAGTGCACACTGACTGACTGACTGACTGACTTACTGGCTGGCTGACGTCCCTGTGGCGATAATTGGTGCGTGCGTCATGTGGCCGTGCGGTCAAATCAATCAATTGACTGACGGCAGGAGAGGTGATTGATGGATTGATTGATTTGTTGTGCACGAGAGAGTCAGATAAGGAAGAAGATAGATGTGCCTGCCTGCCTGCCTGCCTGCCGATGACTCGTCATGAATGAGACGAAGGGTTTATTTGTGTTGACGCTCCATCTCATAGGGGACTGCTACCCGGGTGGGTGCACGGTGCTCTTTGTCAATGATGCATTCGGATACACATGCTTTTCTGCATGGCTGCATGCTGAGGCTGAGCATTCGGTGCTAGTGATTCCTCGTGTAAGTGGTCTGAGTGAGTGACAAAACGAGTAACCCATCAGCACAAGCACGGAAAATGTGCCCCAACTCACGAGGCGTGAAACGGACAAATGGGCGTTAACGAAAACCGCAACGCCACGAGAAGAGGGGGGAAGGAACCCTGGTTGTACCGACACATTCCCTTCTCGCCACCTGCCATGATGAACCGCGGCTCGTTGACCCTTGCCCTGGTGGCTGTTGCACTGTGCTTCGCTGACCTGCCTGCACAGGCCGAACCGGCATCCGGCTCTCATCATGACTCCACGGTCCGTACGGGGAGTGCGGTGTACATGTATCACCCATCACATCGTATGTGTGTCTTGCTGATGGTGTGCGCGTTTCATGCAGGACACCGCAACTGACGAACTGGTTGACGTCGGCATATTGGCGTTCTGTCGCAATGTGCTTGAAGACCCTGCCCAGCCTGGCGAGTATTTCTATGAGCTCAATAATCTGACCCCCGACCGCCCCAAGCAGCGCGTCTACCTGCCTGATGAAGTCGTCCACGGCAGTGTCAAGTGAGGCCGCAACACAACACAGTTCTGTGTGCCACCAACTGAGATCTGTGATGTCTGCCCAGCTTCTACACCACAGACGAGCACGGCCGCAAAACACTATTTCCCAAGGGCGTGGCGCCAGCCGTGCGTCTGGCCGCCTGGGCATCCGGCTCTAATGACTCCGCCGTCACTCAAACGGTCGGTACGGGGCGGGCCGTGTATCATCCATCACATCGTATGTGTGTCTTGCTGACGGTGTGCGCGTGTCACGCAGAGCACCGCAACTGACAAACTGGATGACGTCGGCACGTTGGAGTTCTGTCGCAATGTGCTTGAAGACCCTGCCCAGCCTGGCGAGTATTTCTATGTGCTCAACAGACTGATCTCCGACCGCCCCGAGGAGCGCGTCTACCTGCCGACCGATATCGCCCGCGCCAGTGTCCATTGTCAGCTAGATCATGTCACTGAGCGGCGCTGTCACAATCAATGGCCTGCTGTCTGATTTGTGCTCACACAGTCTACATAACGGACACGAGCGGCCGCACAACAATGTTGAAAAAAGGCGTGCTGCCAAATGAAGAGACGTACGACGACATTGGCTGCACCAACACACGACGGGCAGACGGGCTCAGATCGATTGTGCTTTGTGTGTGTCGTCTTGTTGCCAGTGAGGGTGTGGCCAACAAAGGCGGCGTCACTGCACTGCAAGACCGGCAGGACGAGGGCTCATCATCATCATCATCATCATCATCATCGCTCGATGCCGCCATTCAGAGCCTCCAGAGCCGAGTGAGCGATCTCCAGGGTCTCCAGGAACGAGTGAACAATCTCGAGCAGCAGCTGGCCAAGGTGGGGGCCCTCTCCAGGGAGGCTGACGGCAATCTCGAGCAGCAGCTGGCCAAGGTTGGGGCGCTGTCCAGGGAGGCTGATGCGATGTTGGGTAAGGGGCTTCTCAGGCTAGGGCAGAGGGATGCTGAGACCGCTCCGGCCGTTGAGCAGGTCCGTCCATCCACACGGCCAGGCAGGCAGGCAGGCAGGCAGGCAGACAGGGGGTGTGGTGTGTCATGCATGCCTGGGTGACATCCATCGTGTCGTGTTGGTTGTGATGCAGGCCTCGTCACTGGCTGCGTCCTTCCATGTCCTGAAAGCGCGAGTGGGAGATCTGGAACACCAAGTGTCCAACGTCGCGACGTCACTTGGGGAGGTGTACCTCAACAGTCTTTCACTTGGGGACGAGGCGGGTGCTCAGAAGGCCCCTCCGGCTGGCGAGGGTTATCCTCCGGATGTCAAAGCCACCACCACAACTCCACCACCTCCAACCACCACAACTCCACCACCTCCAACCACCACGGAGCAACCGACGACGACCACCGCTGCCACCACTGAGCCGGCAACGACGACTGAGCCACCCACCACAACGGGTATGTCCTAAGCAAGACACTGCTGACTGACACCTGGCTGCTTGGTGTTTTGCTGGTATCCTGCAGACGAACCTGAGGAGCCTGAGAAGCCCGAAGAGCCCGAGAAGCCTGAGAAGCCCTATAATGAAGACAAGGCGGCCTCAGGGGGGCTGAGGGGTGCAGTGGAGCCGTCTGCTGTCGCGCACACCATCAATGCGACCTCCTCCTACCTCGAGAGAGCGTACCAGGGCCTCAAGTCGCTCAAGGCCTACCTGGGCCTGGGTGGCAACTGACTGACAGACAGACGACACGGGCACACCTAATACCACCTGATACTAGTTAACTAGTCGGAGGGGTGTGCGCGTGTGTGTGTGGGGGGGGGGGTCTTTGTGAATGTGTTGATGCATTGCATGTCACTGCATGTCGGTTGGCTGAGAATTTTCCCTGCGCGAGGGTGACCACCGTGACCGCCGAAGACGCGTGGGTGATGGCTCTCTTGCAGGTTGTTTCCTTGTTTGTCCGCTGGCTGAGCAATTCATAGATCGAATGGTTTGTGGCTGGCTGCCTGGTTGTCTGTCGATAACGATGCGATTGTGGGCTGCGTGCCGGGGAGGGGAGGGTCCGCAGGTAGAGAAGGCTGAACGTTGTTGTGAGGCATCCGTGCAGTTAGCTAGCTAGTCGTCACGGTCCACTAGTGGTGTTTTATTCTTGTGCTGTCTGTACCAAGTGCGTCCAGTCGCTGTGTACAGGAATGGAAGACTGAGGAGTGACTGAGTGAGAGAGTGCATCCACCTAGTGCAGTGCATCCACGTAGCGAGCGGTATTTTGTGTATATGTGTGGGTCAAGAGTAGGGCAGTCGCGCTAATCGGTGTGCGCGGGAGCGAGTGAGGGATGCATCGGCGAGGTACGTGTGCGTGTTTGCATGGGGGCTGTATCCAATCTCATACATGTACACATCGATGACAACCGGGATGCCATGGGAAGACACACACGGGCGCAAGGATGAAAATTACCATCGCACTCATTCGCCTCAGTGCAATGGTTTTTCGGATTCTCGACGTGGGGACGTCACATTTGTTGATCCGAAGTCATGCATCACACACACACACACACACACGAATTCATGTATCAGTCACGCCTTGGCACTTGCTGTGTCTCCCACACTCACACCACGCCACACTCGTTGGCATTCTCATCGGTCTGGGCAGCTACCACCTGCCCCTGCCCCTGGTCTCGCCGCTGTGTGTGTACATGTTGCCAGGCCCCCCATGAGACAAACGGTGCGACTCCTCTGTCAACACGATGGGCGGCCACCTGTGTGTACAGACACACGCAACAGACACGGGATGAGTGTCAGCCCCTATTTTGTCCCGATCTCTGCGTACCAGTCTTGGTCGCACACATTGCCTGCGCCGTCTTCTGCATGTCGGTCGTCGCTCACGGCCTCCTGTCTCTGTGTGAGGGAGATCAGCGAATGCAGCTCCGGGCTGTGCGACAGCCCACACTGCGCCAAGATCGATAAACGCCCGACGGATGCGCGGACACAAGGCGGGGAGTGGCATTCTGTTCCGCATTTTTCATTCACTCGCCCACTCACCCGTTTGTATGCGTCGATGAGGGCCGTGTAGAGCCGCATTGGCAGGCGGATCCGCGTCGCCGCAGCATGGGTCATCAAGTGATAACCTACACCGCACATGGTCATGTCGATACGCATGGTCTGTGTTGGTGACTGTCTCGACGTATGTATGTACCGAGTTCTAGGTTTTGCTTCTGGATGCATCCGTCCATGAGGGTGGCGTAGAGGCTGTGGGTGACGTAGGCGCCGAGAGGTGTCGACTGCAGCGACAGGAACAACTGAATCGACCAACACACAAAAGAGGGAGGCACAGAGACATACACGGCTCAATATGTATGTGGGTGGATGCATTTCGGCGTGACGCTCTCCATCCATGTGTGTCTACCCCCATTGCGTCTTTGAGGAGTCCGCACTGGACCAAGCCCTGTCAACACGTTGCGCAACGGAAAGTGTCACGTTGCGCATCTATCAGCCCTGCAGAGGCCATATATACATACATACATACTTGTACGGCGCTTTCGTAGAAGTGAATGTCAGGTGTGACGGCCTGGTCTTGCTTCATGCTGTCCACCACCTAAAGCATGAAGTGAACACCAAGCAAGGTACACGAAAACATACACGAAAGCACACACCTAGGTGTACCTTTGCGACGCCTTGTCCGTCGCCCGCATTGGCGTACGCTTTGATGAGGGCCGTGTAGGTCAGCACAGACGGCGGGATGGACGAGGCAGACATCTCGGACAACACCTAAACACACCCATGGGTCGGTACCCACAACACACACGCCCTGGTCGCTTACCGTCTTGGCCATTCCGATATCACCGCACCTCGCGCACGCGAGCAGCAGGCCGTCGACCACGGCCAGCAGGTCAACCGTGTTCACGGGAGTGATGCACCGCCGCATCTCCGCAAACGAAGATAGAGACGCATCCAGCTGCCCTGAGAGAGCGTAAGCCTGCACGCATGACGGGACACACGCATAATGCGTACATGGGAATGCCGCATCATGTGTGTATGCTTGTGTCTCAATGAGGTAGGTGTACGTGCCTTGCACATGATCAGATGTGTGGTGGCGTTTGGCCGGACACGATCGCGCTTCATCATGCCCAGCAGCTTGCGCGCGTGCTGCATGTCGTTGCATCGCGCGGATGCGTCGATGCACAGGTTGTGGGTGAGCACATCGGCTTTCAGCCCCATCTCACGCATCTCATCCACCAACTGCAGGAGCATACGCGCATATGATATGTGCGGATGTGCAGATTGTGTGCGACACTGACTGACCTGCATGCATCTGTCGAGGCGTCCCATCCCGCCCTCCATCTTTATCAGGGCGTTGTACACGCGGCCGTTGCCCACCACACGCCGCCCCTGCATCTCTTGAAACAAAGCAACAGCCGTCTCGTCTGCATTGGCTGCACACACACACACACACACACACACATACACAACATACAATACACATTCACCGTGATGATATCTGTCTCTGTTGAAAGCAGAGGCCACATCCCACCTTCGACAGCTCCCCAGATGAGGTTGGAGTAGATGAGGCTGTCGGTCAGCAGACCAGAGGCCTCCAACTCGTCTTTCAACGCAAGAGCGCGCGGCAATGTGACAGGCGACAGAACATACGCCTGTCACCGATTGACCCACCAGACAGAGAGGCGAATGTTTAAAGTCCTCTCTGGCGGATTCAGTTACTTTGATGAGTATGGAGTAGGTGACGATGGATGACGGTGTGATGCCCGCGTCGAGCATGCGGTTGAAGACCTCCTCGGCCCTGTCGACCTTCCCAAACGTCACGCACGCATCCATCAACGACGCAAATAACACCTGCACGATCGAAACAGAACCATATACACTTCTCTCCCTATGTGTGTGTGAGAGAGAAAGAGAGAGGGAGAGTATGTTTGTTTACCTCGTCGGGCATGATGTTTTGCCTCCGCATGTCCTCCAGGCACTGGAAGCCCTTGGTCAGGTGCTCATTCTCACTGCCAGGATGTGATGACGTGTGCCTGCAGATACAAAGGGATGATGTATGCACACGCTCACAGAGTGGGACACATTTGAACTTGCTTGTATATTTTGAGGCCTTTGATGAGTGTCGAGTAGGTGACGCTGTCAGGAGACACGCCCTGGGCCTTCATCGTCTCCAGCAGCTGCCACGCACCTTCACACAGGCACACATACACACAATATGCAGACACCTGCATGTGTGTCCTTGCTTGTTTTATATATGTGTGTACTTTCGACTTGTTTGGCCTTGACGCATCCGCACATGAGTGAGTTGTACGTCACCACGTCGGGCTCGATGCCCTCTTGCTGCATCGTCCCCAGCAAGTCAAACGCACGATCCAAACTCTGCAGACATGTACGCACACAAATACACAAACGGATACGTTTGCGTACGTTTGGGTGTAGTGAAGGTGTGTAAGAGCCAAGTCACTGACCCCGTTGGTGTAGTGTGCGCGCATCATGATGTTGTACGTCAGCCGAGAGGGCTTCACCTGCACAGTTGCACACAGGCACAATCCAGAAGATGCACACGTGACGTGCACATCGACACAAATCCAGTGAGTGCGTGCATGTGTGCAGGCAGGGCTGTAGTACGCTTTTCTCCTTCATGCGCTCGAACAGCTCGATGGCTCTGTGCGGCTGCCGGCAGTGTATGCACACGTCCAGCAGACAGTTGTACATACCGCTGTCAGGCGTCCGGCCCAAACTGACACGACACGCACACACACCAACACCACAACAAACGTAAGTATGAGCTCAAACCACGGAAACCCTGTTACCCCTACACTACATACCTTTCCCAGACTTGGAAGATGCCCTCTGCCTTTTCCGCCTCGCCGATCTGTCCGGCGCACCGCATGAGTGTCATGAAGGAGGAGATGCTGGGTGAGGGATCGTGCAGCCATGGCCGAGGGTCGCACAACAACTGAAGGACAGACACGCGAGACAGACAGAACGGAGTCACATGGATGCTTCTCATCTTTGTCTGTCGGTGTGATGGGTGCATGCATTCACGAACCCACCTTAGCAGCGTCTCTTTTGCGGCCCACTTCCACCAGTTTGGACACCAGCAGCGTGCAGATGTTCAGATTGGCAAAGCCTGAAGAGACGAAAAAGCTGTGCCCGTGTCTGGCGTCCATGTCTCTAGTTGAAATGCGGACGTACCTCGCTCGTTCATTTCTGCGAACCACCTCATGGCGTCGTCGAGCCGCTCGCGATACGTCAGGTTGCGCACCAGCTGGGCGTAGAGGGCCAGAGACGCCTTGTTGGACTGACGCGCCTCCTGCACAGCACACAGCACACAGCACACATACGTCACGTGCGCTTGGTCGGTTGTTTTGAAGGGTCACCTGGAACGTCTGGAAGACCCTCTGCATGTTGCCCGTGGCGAAGTACAGCTCAAGCATCGATATGTAGAAGGGGGTCGACAGATCCATTTTCAATGACAACATGTCTGCACAGCCATAGACACATACATTTGTGTGTGTGGGTGAGTGTACGTGGGCAATTTTCTTCTTCGCTTCTTCGTTTTTCTGTTTCCGTGAGTGCCTCCGCTCGACTCACCCTGTTTCAGCTCTTCGACACGGCGCACTTGTTTCCTGCTGGCGTAGAGCTTCACCAGCAGATAATACGAATACTCGTCAAGCGGCAAATCTGACCAAACACAGCCGGTGCACATGACACGGAGGAAATCTGAGTGCCTTCCTGTCTCGTCCTGACTGTTCTGCCAGCTCTGCTGCACGATCATCTCAGCCTTGCGCAGATCTCCAGTCTCCATGGCAACCTGCGTCGCAGACACAGAGGATACAAGGCCCAACTATGCTCAAGCACGCAAGCTCACTTTGAGCATGAGGTTTCGTTTGCTGATTGCCGTGAAGGTGTCAGACTCCTTCGCCTCGGTCACCAGCTGGTACATCTTCTCACACGGCATCGGGTGGCTGCCCCTCGTGTCACCGCTCACCTGAGGAAGCCAGTCAGTTAGCGCATGCAGACAAAGATGCACACACACGTGTGCATGCGATTCATAGACATGGACACGTACACACGTGGATGCTTACGGAGTCCATGGATGGCTGCGATGGCGTGGTGAGCAGTGCAGTGGTGTCCTCTCCCTCTGACGTCCGCTGCCCGTCATTGTCCTTCGACCGGCCGCCGCGGACCACCTCTGGCCCTGTCGACGCGAAACACACATTCGGAGGGATTCCTCTGGACACACGTATGTTTGGTTGGTGGTACCGGCGGCCTTGATCGGGTCGAATCCAGGGGGAGGGAAGGGACTCGGAACAGTGAAGGAGGGATCGATCTGAGTGCCTGTTGGCAAGGAGGGAGAAGACACGCATGTCTCGATGAGTGCATGTGCGTATCCTTGTCTGCAACGGACCTGATCGCGCTGTCACCTCACGTATGACGTACTGGTACAGCCGCGTGCTCGCCACGCCGCGCTCGCCAGCCTCCTGCACACAGGCACAGATACTCATATTCGCAGATGAAAAGACGGTCCAATATGATGCGATGCAAGTGGCATGCGGACCTTGAGGAACTCCTCCGCCATTTTCTTTTCGTTTGAGTTGATCGAGCACTTGATGAGCGACTCATAGAAGTGCTCAGTCGGTGGCAGGGGGGGCATCCGATGAGAGGATATGCCCTGCGCACATACAGGAATACGCAGAAAAGTGTCGTGATAGATGGACATCCACATTATCTGTGTTTGTCTGTGTATGTGTGAATCCCACCTTGACCATGGTGGCGAACTCGAGCCGGTCGGTGTTGCCCAGGGTGATCGTCAGGCGATACACTACATCGGCATCAACTTGCAACAACAACGCTGAGGCAGAACAGAGGCAAAAGTGATGTCTCTCTCGGATACTTTTCGTGCATTCATACCATCTGCAGGGCAAAGGGGCGTCTCCCCGGTGATGAGATGGCTGACCACATGCATGAGGATCCACCCAACACACAAGCCATCGCCCCTTGCCTTCAGGCACGCGTTCACGAGCAGCACCGCCACCCCCCACGCCTCATGCCCCCCCTCGCCCCCGTCCAGATACCCACACACGTCACGTTTCGTCAACAGAAGCGTCAGGGCATCCAGCAGCTGACGCAGGGCATCAGCGTCGAGAGGCCCGGAGGGGAACTGCATACCGGTCGCGTCGCTGTCTCTGTCTTTGTTGAGGAATATGCCGGTGCCAGTTGGAATCTTCTTGGACTGCAGGATGGTAGCGTTGACTAGCAGTATCCACCACTCGACGGCAAACGATGGGCTCGGAAGCATCGATTGTCCTGTGCTCTAAACCGATCACATAAGCAATCAGAGCATTGGGTCATGTGAAGCTTAGTCTCTGTGGGGCTCACCGTAGTGAGTGTTGCGATGGAGTTCCACAGCCGCCAGAGCTCCTCCACCCGGCCCTCACGCAACAGCCGCTGGCCGTCCCTGACCCAGCAAAGCGACAAGGCCCCCGAACTCATATCAACTACCTGCATACACTCAGCACACGAGGAGGAGACACACAATCCTGTGGCTCACGAAGACCGACCTATCTGTGTGAACACTCACCTCGTCCCGAGCAACGAAGTCATGGTTGTTGCTCAAGCTAGTGGCTCCTTGGTCATGGCCGTGGATCGACGCTGCTGCCGCACAAGCGTCGTCCTTATGTCGTGCCTCAGGCTTTTGGCCTGGCTGCTGCGGCTCGTGCGCTCCCCGTCTGTTGCAGAGAGAGAGGAGACAGGTGAGGGGCCACGAGAGCACCGCCATGATAGTCTCGTCCGCATACATCCTGCGGCACATGTAGAGCTGCACACACACAGAAGGAGGGCGCCCGAAAAAGAGTGCGGATTCATTCTTAAGGCCTTCCATTCCTCACCGCTAGGCAGCAGCATTGCGTAATGATGAGAATCTGGACGCACTCGGTGAGGATACCGGAATAGCTGCCGCTCAGAAATCGCCACCAGTCCATCATCATCATCCCTATTCACCACCAAGGGACTTAAATCCTCAGGGGAACGCCGTTAAAGCAGAAACGCCGACGAATACGTGTACATGGGTGGGCTGCTGTATGGGGAAGGCGCTGTGAAGCTGTTCTGCAACGCAATTCTGCTCGTCTTGGGTCTCAGTGAAAGAGGAGGAAGACGGAAGGCTTCAGAGTCTCAGGCGCTTCTGCACTGCAGAGGAGGCAGGGAACAAGACAAGGGATGGAAAAGGAGCTCAATGGCAGATAGAGGCGCCACGGGGGGCAAGAAAGCCCGGAAAACGTGTACCGTTTGGGGGAATGAGGGAGCGAAAAATGCCAAATGGAAAAATGATGGGACCATGAAGAGGTAAAGGTTCTGCGTAGAGCTGCATGGCTCATCGTTTGCTTGTGCTTGACAACGATCAGTCCACCGTAACGGTTTGCTTCTGTTGGTTGTGCGCGGTGTAGGTACGAGGCAGAGTTCGACGAGGTGAAGGTGTGTTTGGTTCATGCAAGAGGGGGGCAAGGTTTGATGTCTGTGCAGTGCACACGGCGTGTGTGTTTTATGCAGGTGCTCGGCAAGGGCAGTCAGGGGAAGGCGGTGTTGCTGCAGGTCAACGAAACTCGCTCTCAGAGCATAGCGTCTCCTCTCAGTGAGTACTTGTGCTTTGCAGAGAATAGCCACTGGCGAGTACCTGGTCGGCAAGAGGATTGTGACCAAGCTGGAGAGAAAAGACAAGACCAAATGCATTCAAGAGGTGAGCAACACAGAGACCAAGTGATTGATCAAGTGCCCCTTGTATCAAGTGCCCCTCGTGTCGCACACCTTTCCAGATTCAGCTGATGCAGCGTCTAAAGCATCCCCTCTTGGCTGCTTATCAAGGTGCCTTGTATCTTTCTGACGATGAATTGGTTATACTGATGAAGTACTACCCTGGTCGGCAAAGAGACACATTCAAATCAAGCAAACACTTTCTCTTTCTCGTGCTCTGATCAGGGGGGAACATGGCCACTCTCATATACAACAGGACCGAGCCATTCTTGGAGTCTCAGGTGTTGAATTATGTCACGCAGCTTCTGATCGCGCTCGAGTTCATTCACAATCACAAAGTCATCCATCGGAATGTGAAACCATCGAATGTCTTCGTCTCGCAGAATGACAATGTTGGCAAGGCAGAAAAGACAGATAGAGAGTTGTGCAGTCATTATGGTGTGCGTTCTTTTCCTTTCTGTAATGCAGATATGCCTTGGTGACTTGGGCGTGTCTCGTCAGCTCGAGTCAACAGGCAAGCCGGAAGCGTACTACGTCAGGTGTGGCACAGACATAGAGAGCAAGTGAAGAACGTACAGAATTCAATTGCTTGGTGTGTCAGCCCAGAGGTCTGCGAGGGAGGCCTGTATTCATTTGCGTCGGACATCTGGGGTGTTGGTGCAATTGCATGTGAGATGCTTACACTGGAGGTGCGCGCATCTCCGGTGCATTTGCACATGCGTTGAGTTGATACAAACAACGTGCCTTCCTTCAGAAACCGTACGATTCCATTGCCGACATCATGAAATGCGAGACGCCACTGCACTTGCCTGATTCGGTGAATGACGGGACAATCAGCATGGATTGCGCCCGAGGGACGACGCGTTGTTGATGGGTGTCAGGTGTCACCAGGAATGCACGCTCTCGTCCAGTAGGCGCTCTCTCCTTCTAGTGGACGCCGATGTGTCATGTTATGGGTACTGACAGGTGTCTCATGCATCTTGACCCCAATCAAAGGCCCACAGCTAAGGCGCTGCTCGATCATCCACTCATTCTGCCATTCAGGCAAGTGCTTACCCTCTGGAAAGGTATGGGAAGCATGCAGTAATGGCCAACATTGCAACAGCATTGCACATTTTTCTACGTCATATAGTGTCCGACTATGTGGTGTCATGTCCACTTGTTTCCAGACAAGCTTGACCGTTTGTCAAGTGATGATGCCCTGCAGTACGTGTCACAGACTGACGCAGCTGCACGGGAGGCAGCCTCTCACGCCTGCGACGCAGGGACAGTCGATTGGCAGCCAAGTAGAAGCGGAGACTCGCCCACACCTGCAAGACCACTGCAAGTGAGTAAGTCCCCATGATATGCTCATGAAGTGCATTGACTCTCTCCGTGTTTGTGTTCGTTTCTCTTAGCAAGCGAAAGAGGCCGTTGCGCGCTATGCAGCCCCTGCAGCTCTGCAGTCGCCTCCGAAGCACTGGAGGGATTTCGCGACCAGCAGGGGCTCGTCCATGGCGGACGAGCTGCAGAGGAGCGGGAATGCAATGGGTGGGTGACAGATGATGCTGCCATCCTCTTGGCTGCGACACAACATGGGGTTTCTCTCCATTTCGCTGGACAGACAGTCCCACTGCGTGTCGCAGTAAGACTTCATCTGATGCTCATCCCGCTGATGCCACAGGCGTCCCACCACAATTGCGGACACAAAGGAGACACTCAAGCGCACCGCCAAAGAATGACAGCCAGGCGGTAAGTCCGCATCCACTAAGAGGTATACATAAGCCAGCTGACCACGTGTCTCTTCCGCAGGATGGGTCATTGCAAAGGATAGTCGAGGGTGGTCTGCTCAATATGGAGAGCGTTGCAAATGCAACACGGCCCCGCGGCAAGATAGATGTCATCAAAGATGTCGTTCTCAATGGCGAGCTCTCTGGATGGCATGATACTGCCGTGGACTTCTTAGGTATCCATACAGGGAGAAGAGAAGGAGCACTTACATCACTGACTCACTTGTCATGCAGTCTCTCCATACCCCTCTTCGCGTCCCCCCCGTCCCCCATCCGCCCCGCCACGCACACGATTCGACGACAAAAAGAAGAGACCGAAGAACAATCAATCACAAGAATGCACGGTGGGCATGTCGGCATGAGACATGAGACATGACGCATTTTCATTTCATTGTTCAGTCGCCGGTGTTGCGTCGCCAAGTCACGTCTGATACCGACGAGTCGCGTGTGCCTCACACCGCAGCACTCACGCCTCAAGAGATGATCCAGCTGCTCAAGAAGGGGCTGGGCATCATCGATGAAAACAGCAGGACGGGCAAAAGGAAGAGCGGTAGGAACAAGAAGAGAGAAAGGGCCGCATGCCCTTCTTCGTCGTCTAGCGCGTCGTCGTGTGTACGGGAGGAGGCGGAAGGGGATGCATGACGGCAATGTTCCACATGGGGGGGGGCTTATTGGTCGACGTAGTAGACACTGAACACTTGCTTACGGCTACCCTCTCCTCGTTTCTGCGTGCGTGTCGTAGATTCTCATTTGTCTTGTTTCTCTTCTCTCTGACGCGCCGCCTTGTGTGCTTGCGACAGTACTTCGATTGCTTCGCGAAGCGTGCGTCGTCTGAAAAAGGCACGTGTCTCTTCAAGGACTTAGCCTTGAGAGAGACACGTCGTTGCTGCTGTGGGGTGGTATGCTACTTAAGAAAGTAAGGTACACGACCGAACAAAGAAGGATTCGTGAGCGTTCACGGGTGAGTCGTGCCATATTTGCTTAGACAGGAAGTGCGCGCTCTAAAAATTGACCAACTTTGTTGACGTTCTAGTCTAAGGGCAATGCTCTCTGTTGCCATCTCTTTGTTCGCCGGTGCCAGTGTAGGAAGGGGGAGACTGGCCGCCTCAAGCGGAACAACAAGAACGTCGCGCTTCAATCCGTGACCGTCCTGGTCCGTCCGCACGTCGCGCCTTTCTCGCCAGCCAGCCAGCCAGCCAGCCAACCAGCCAGCCAGCCAACCAGCCAGCCAGCCAGGCAGGCAGGCAGGCAGCGGGTGCTCTAACGGTGTGTGTCGGAGTGTCCTTTCTGTCGGAGGCAGACAGTCAGAGAGGACCAGAAACCCCCACGAAAAACTGTGTTCCTTGCTTTGTTTGCGCTACAGGAGCCACAGAAAGATGCGCAGAGGCCAGAAGTACGACAACGTCACGTCGTAGATTCGTACCTATCCGTCGGCGGCGTCGTGATTTGCTTGTGGGCCTTCGTGCTTCTATCGACCGGTGCTCTGGGACGTATTGGCTTCCAGAAAGTAGGCGGGAACACCATGACTACTATGAGGCCGGATGGCTGCCTCCCCAGAAGTTACGTCATCCCTGATGACGACGACTGCCCTATTTGCCTCGATGCCCTTCGGGACAAGACAGACTTGGTGCGGCTCACGTGTGGTCACTTTCTTTGCTATGAGGTTCGTGTACAGCACTGGAAGGGCAGACAGTGTGTTTCTTCCTGTTCTCGCGTCTGCAGCTGTTTCTTCTGCTTGTTTCTTGTCATCTTTGTGCAGTGCCTGAAGCGCGAGACAGGTTCTTTCTACAGGGACGATGCATCGCGGCCGACTGGCGCGAGGTCTGACGGGCGGTCCCTGCCATGTCCCAAGTGCCGCTTTGTAAGCATGAATACCCACTGGACGAACAAACTTTCCTTCGGTGCGATTTGACACACTATCTCTCCGCTTTTTTTTCAGGGATGTGATTTGATTGAGCGCATACAGAAACCGTCAGCCTCGGCGACTCTGGAATTTGACAGATTCGGTGGTCCGTTTCGCGACGTCACCGTTGGTGATACAACATGGCGCGCTAACTATTATCACCCATTGGGATTGACGGGCGGGCTCATCGCTGCGGGCCCCCTTTTTCTTCCTCCCGAATTTGCGGGGACATTCACGCGTCAGATGTTGGACAGATTGGGTCGCGCCTGGAACCGTTTGAGTGCCGACCACGACACGGTGGACGCCACTCTTGAAGCCCTCCTTTGGGACGAAAGCGCCGAGGAATGTCGCGCCCTGCTGCGGGATCTTGACGATGTGCTGTCTTACTATGGCGAAGACGGGTGAGCTCCGCGCCGTGCGTGAGACGATGCGTACATGGACGGACCACTTTCTTTGCCTGTATGAGTGCTGTCAGGTGCTGTGAGGCCTTCGATGTTGAAGACGAGGTGTGGGTCTGCGGGGTGGTCAATCGGCCTGAATACAACGGGCTAGAAGGTACAGTAGAGGAAGTCATGCCGCCACGCACACGACGCAACAGAACTGACAACACACGGTGAGAAAATAAAAGCGAGCCCCCGAACAAGAGAGACCTGAACGTACGTGTGCTGATTTGGCCTTTTCTCTCTCTATGTGTGCAATTATCGAGTGACTCTCGATGCCGGCGAAATTGTGCTATCCCTGCGGGGCGACGTTCTTCGCCTTCCTCCCGAAATGTACGAATGGTTTTTTTTACGAAAGGACGGTGTCAGCGCCTCTCCCTTCTTGTGTGCTGGCTGGGGGCGAGTGGGTGGGTGGTCTGGGGATGTGTCGATAGACAAACATGATGCATACATGGCTACGCTCTTGTCTTTTCACGTGCATGTACGTAAATGACTGTTTTCAATGTGCGCCTGAGTCTTGAATGCTGGCGTGCGCCGCTGAAGTTGATTGAACTGTTTGATTGTTAAGTGCTCTCATCACCGTCCATCCAGTGTCTCATCCCTCCCTCCCATCACCCAAAAATGACCCGTCGGCGAATCAGTCCATGTCTCTGTGACTCGTTGTCGCTGCTCGCCCATCATCTATTGAATCTCTCTAACGAATGCACATGCACGCAAAGGCCCTATGCGTATGAATGAACCACCCAGAGACATGTACACACGTTCAGTCAAATGATCGCAGCGTTCCTCTCTTGAGTAGAAGGGAGGAAGCTCAATGCATCAACACACGCGTCCATCCTCTCTCGTGAGTGGTCGATGAGTGAATGGAGGAGTGACTTGTACGATGATGGGTGAAAAAGTGGCAAAAGTGACAATCATCGAATGAGGCACAGCCATTCAAGTTAGCTAATTGACATGGTTCAATCTGCCTGACATGTCTTGCCTTATGAGATTTACGTGCGAAAAATCGATACCAAAAAGAATACTTACGAAAAATCGATACCAAAAATAGAACAGACAGCCACCATAGAGACGACCACAGATAGAGCACAGTGATCGACCAAAGCATAGAACGAACACAGCGAACAAAACGCGCCGTCAACGCAGTCGCAAGAGACAGCCACAACGAATTGATTACAGCGGCGAATTGCTGTACTTCGGAAAAACTGACACCAGCAGCTCATTCGCCGTTGTCAACTAAGTTCCTGATGTCGGGTGAACATGAGACAACACTGAATTCACCGGACAATCACGGCAGGAAGGAATTGCAGGAAGGCACGACATAACACGACACATCATCGACTCTGCCCACCTCTCGCCCCGTCTCCTTAACAAACCATCCGGAAGAAGAGCATGTGTACTCGATATCATCGCTCTGGCCCATTGACCAGCAGAAGTCAGCCTTTTGCAACTCACAGGCGTCTTCAGACTTTGCCCATCGAGACTCATCACCGTTTCTGGCTGTACTCCCCCGCTGGGCTCAGCATCTTCCCAAAACGATGCCGATTGTCTAGGAATATAGATCGCCCGTCGCCACACCAGCCGTCGCCCACTCCCATGACCCGGAGTGCGTCCCGCTCCTTGTAATCACGCCTCACCATAATGGATGAAGACCAGCACTTCACAGGCCACAGCCCCCGACGCTCGCCGGTGACCAACTTGTCGCGGTCCTCCCTGTGGTAGGAGCCCTTAAACATGCCTTCTCGCCAATTTGGCCGGAAACAGGCCTTGTCGACCCCAAAGTTGGCTTGGTCACCGTCGGTCACGCCCAACGGTACCACTGAAGGCAGGTCGTCTTGCACAAGCTGCTGAACGAGGTCGTGTTGTTGAACGACAAAATCGTTCTCGATAAGTAACAGATGCGACGCCTTGACCTGACGCATGATACGAAACGCTCGTTTGTGGGCCTCTTTGCCGCGGGATGTCTCTCTGTGCTCGTGAACTGCCGCAAATCTCAGCTTGAAGTTCTCGTCAAGCCGCAGATCGCAGGACGGGCCGCTCGACACAAAAAGGTCCGTCCTGCCATGGTCCACCTCCATCGCCATCAAGCCCTCGACGAACTCCCAGCTGCTGTTGCCGGTCGGGTGCGCACAAATCACCGCCAGGACCATCTTCGGCTGTTGATAAGGCGATGTGTCCCTCTCGTACCAGACTGAGCCCTCTTCATTCGTCCATGCCCCAGCCTCCAAGAGCACCAAGTGATAGAAGAGGTCTTTCCCGTGTCCGTTCCCATGCAACAGTGCTGCGGCCTCCTTGCCGTCAGTGCGGGCGAAGGTCAGTCCATGCACATCCCTCTCTCCATCTCGCGAGCGATAAGTGGTCGGCGCGAGCTTCCACTCGTCCGGATCCATGCGCGTGAGCGCCTGGAAGAGCGGACGCTCATAGTCCAGCTTAATCGTCACCCCATGACCAACGTCATTCTTCAGAAACCGACGAGTGAAGAACAGCTGATCGTCCTGCCCGGATGGATACTTCTCCAGACAGAGGGATAGAGCACCCGCACGACCTGCATACCCGCCGGAGTTGAGGAATCGGTACGCGTCTTTGGTCGGCGGCATGGGATATTCGTCCTTGAGGCGCCGGTCGGGCCATAATCCGAGCTCGCTGTCGATATGTGGCCATGGGCAGGAGACAGAAGGCAGACAGACAGACAAGGACACACGTAGATATGTGTGGGCTGTCTGCGTGACTGGTGACTTAAGTGCCTCACCTGGAGACGATGATGGTCGTGTTGTCATTGTCAGGTATGAGCAGACGCAGACGTCGCTCCAGCTCTTCATTTGGCACCCGCAGGACCCCGTCATACCTGCAGCGGGTGAGAGATCAAGCAAGGGGCTCTTGCTCAGCAACTGTTTTCCACACCCACCCATCAGTGAAGACGACCAACAAATCTGGATCCTGCTGGGACAGCCATCGCCTCATGACCTCAAGCTTGATTGTTCTGGGGTCGCCTTTGCGTTTCTTCTCGTTCTGTCCGATGGTCACTAGGTCCACACCGTAATACCTTGCTGTGAGAAGGACAAAACACACAAATCAACAGACAGAATGACGTGCTGAGACTTTCCCTCCCACCTGATCGCGACAACGCTCTATAGCCCGGGTTCGTTTGATTTTGCCCCACTGTGACGAGAACGAAGGGCGGAAGAGACCCGTCGGCTGATGATAGCGCCACCTGCAGGACATGTGCACGTGCATAAATGTGCACTGCACTCAGCGCAGCTCACTTGTTGTTGGTCCGCTGCATCGGTCCCTGACGGACAACTGACGATGCCTCTCAGCTGAGAGGTCAGCCATCCCCGCCGACTGACAGACAGACCGACCAGAAAGGAGATGAGGAACACGCTCAGCGACGCTGCGGCGAAAAGGAAGAGGTGACGAAAGACGCGCGACATCCTGAAGAGGGAACGAATTACGCCGTTCCGGAAAGAAGGGGGGACACGGCGAGGCGAGAGTGTTCCATGCTGGCAGGCCAATCCCCTGAGTTTGCGCTAACGGCTGTACTGTAAATTCTGTTTCGGATGAACACCTGAGGATGACGCTCATGCCGACGATGAGCACCGACGTCGTGGACTTCAGTTACGCAGCACTGGAGGGCGCGTCACTGGAGCGATGGCTTCCGTCGACTTTCGGGCGATGTAGGAAGAAATCACGCTGACAGTGCGGAGAAACGAATCCAACACAGACAACTTACAGGTGATTCATCACTGCGACAGACAGACAGACAGACAGACAGACAGACACTGTTGCCCCTGCTCTCTCCAGCCGTTCAATGCAGGACTCACTTACTGTGGCTGTGAGGATGGGCCCTTTTCGTTCGGAGCGCTGGATCAATCGTTACGTCCGCAAGCTCGAGAAATGCGTCCTCGTCAAGGAAGTCGTGCTTGACACGTGGGTGCCGCCCGGCCAGTCCATCGATGACTTCCGAGGGGTGCTGCAAGAGCAACTAACAGGGCTCAGCGTCAGCGTCGTAGAATTCATGGCCCGTATGACAGGCTCTCGCCTCACGGCTGTGGCTATCCTGACTGCGTCCCCCCCCACTGGTCAGCGCACGCCTTCCCCTCCGCGTCGGCGGCAGTGAAGGCGCTCAGGTGCGATGGACTGTCGGGAACACGACGCTCCATATATCGGGACTGACAAAACACGAAAAGGACAAGGTACGGCAGGCACATGCAGGGGCGTCGCGTGGATGTATGGACGTGTACTTCCGTATGCGACAGGAATGGGGAGTGCCGCGATGTGCCGCAGGGGACAGCTTGCCCGACACTGCTCTCCTCAAAGCAGACGAAAACAACTGGGAGTGGGTTGGCGGAAGAGGTGACAGCCACTGAAATTTCATGAACACTGTGGCCTGACCCACATAATTGCTTCTTGATGTGGGTTTTGGCAGCAAACGCGATCAAGGCAATATGGAGCGAGAAGATTTTGTCCGAACCCGCGAGGTCACCGTCACCAGCTTCTCCAAAGTCGATGCCACTCCCGAGCAAGAGTTGGGAGACATCTACGAACGCTTCAAGGACACAAGAGGCACACATACACGGCAGGCACGCACGCGGACGAGTAAGAGAACAGGCAACGGACGGGATGAGTGCATTGGTGAATGTGATGTCTCCGTTTGTGTGTCGTCAAAAACAGAGGAGGAGACGGGGAGTGGGTCTCAGGAGGAGCGAGACATACGACGCACTGGGCCTCTAGGCAAGGAACTGTATGCGGGCCTGCACGGCAGCGAGGCTGAGGACAGCCCTTCCCTCTACGTCGGAACAAATCAATTCCTCTATCACGTAAGCACACAAACATGCGCTTCACGACCCGCAGCTGCGCTCCTGTGCTGTCACGCGTCCTGTCGGCCGTTGTGTCAGACGATGATCGTGGCGCAGGCACTCCAGCGGAAGGCCAATGCACTGGCAAAGAAAAGTGATGGCAGGGCGAGATTGTGGCCCTCAAGGCTCTAGAAGTGAAGATGGTGAATCGGCTGGATCGGGCCTTGCGTTAGCTAAGACATAGACGGGTGCTTGTAGAGAGTGCTGATGGCTTCCAAGCCGTCAGTCACATTTTCTGCCTGCAGACATTTTCATATGCATGGCCTTTTAACTTGTATTTTGGCGCCATCGTGAGGCTTCGCAATGGTCTTTGGTGTCTGTGCTTGGTGATGTCAATGGTGATGTCGCAAGGGTCTTTGCTGTCGGCTCGTGCCGGTGGTTGGAGAGAGACAAACGAGTGCGTGTGCGTGTGTGTATGTGTGTTGGGGGGGAATACGTGTGGGGCTGTCTACCGGTCAGTGGGCTCCAAAAACACAGCGAGCCGCAGACAGGTCGGCGGGCATACATGCGTGACGGAAAAAGAGACGTGACGATGATGCATGGTGTAAGGGCAGAGCGAGAAGCACAGTGCGTGCACAAAGATGCCTTTATGCTGGTTCGAGTGATGATGACAGGAGAGACAAATCGAGGGCTGTGTCCAGTAGATGCTGTGTGGCGGCTTTCTCATTCTCATTGTGTGATTGGCTGGCTCTCCTGTCTCTAATTCTTCTACGTGGGGGTGGCCCTGTGTCTCGTCTGTGTGTGGTGAGTGAGCGAGTGAGGAGGTAGGTTTTCGATGAATGCCGGCCGAGACTCGAGAGGCACGTGGATTGCTTCATGCATGACACACCCGTGTACAGCTTGGTCCGCCCATTCTCCCTCCCGTCAGTCAGCCATGGCAGCCAACCGACGAGTAATAGCATGTACATGCGAATGACTTGCTTGTCGGTATTTCCACGTGTATTCAGGATAGAATCAATATCAGCTAACGCTGTGATCGGAAGAGCAGGACGGTCTTTTCTGCTGGAATGACATCGAAGAACGCTATCCACTTGGCGTCATACGTGATGGACATGCTGCAAACAACACAACAACACGGAAACGCCATCGAGACCACCCAGAAAAAGGTTACAGATGTGCACTCCATCCTGTCTGCAGTGCAGTGATGTCTGTCATGCAAGTCTGTCCGTGCGTACCCGAAGCTTTTGCCGACGATGCATTGCCACGCGCCCTTGCCGCCCGTGTTGAACGCCAGGTCCTCGTCACACCTTTTCTTGATGGCGGTGGCGATGTCCTTCTCCAGCTTGTGGGCCTCCATGGCCTCATGGGCGTAAACCTGAGCCTGGTGGAGCAGCTCAGCTGGGAGGTCGCAGTACCGGATGCTCATGGGCGGCAGAAGGACTTTCTTCTCCGTCTCCTCCTCATCAATGTCCGACATTGTGGCAGAATCCTATTCAAAGGTAGATGGGGCAACACTTGGGAGGAAAAGGAGGAGAAACGGTTGAAGCGCCCGGGGGATGAACGCCGTGAAACGTGTGCGCGCGCCCTTGGCCTGCCCGATAGCCAAGCCTTGCAGCATCTGACCGCCATGTACGAACCTTTGGGCGGCGGCCCCGGTATGGCGACGCCAGGGACCGCAGACATCCAGTTGGGGCAGCTTGCCGGTGCCCGCTATGACATCTGCCTGGTCTTCCCATACAAGACCTCCAGCCGCGTCAAATACGGCGAGCATTCCGACCCCGTGCTGAATGACCCCAGCAGCAGGGAGCGGCGGCAGATGGAGCGGTGGGACAAGAAGCGCAGCAGCGTCCTCAAACAGCTCGTCAACTGCGGACTGGAGGTCAAGCCCTTCTACTCGAGGGACAAAGATGAGGTCTTCTGCAAAATCGGTACACTCATATAGCGGTTGGGGAGATGGATGGATGGATGGATGACATGAAAGTGCATATGTGATGGATGTCATGGGTGTCGCTGATGTGTTGTGTTGTGTTGTGTGTGTGTGTGGTGGATGCAGGAACTGACATAGCCAAGTTGCAGGAGGTGGCTGAGATGACCAAGCACAAGCTGCAGATGAAGGAGGAGTACCTGGGGGCCCACGCACCGTACATCAAGGACTTCCCCGGCAGGCCGGACGTCAACTACGCCGACCGCAAGGTCGTTTCACACGTGTACAAGCCACGCGACGATGAGGACTTCCCTACCGCCGACTCGATCTTCAGGTCAGGCAGGGAGGGGGGGAGGGGGGGAGAGTGGGAGGGACGACACGCATTAAGGCGGATACATCATGCGCGCGCTTGTTGTCTGTGGGTGGTTGTGTCAGGACTGCTGATCGCATTCAGTTGCTGGACCACGTGATCCGCTCCAAGGACAAGGGGTGCGCGGGAGTCGGTAAGCAGGGCGCCTAGGCACAGACAGACGGAGAGGTGTGTATGGATGCTTTGATGGATGGATGGATGGATGGTGGTTGTGTGTGGGTGCGCTGCAGATATCGGTGCGTTGGTCAAGACGGGCGACCTGAAGGCGTATTTCCCGCTGCATGAGAACAAGAAGCTGGATGAGCTCGACAGCACCTGGTGGAGCTGCTTCGTCACTGCCGCTAATGCTAACAAGGTCAGGCTCCTCGTCTGCCCATGGATGGATGGATGGATGGATCGTGTGCGCGACCCGCCTCACATCTGTGTGGCGCATTGTTTTGCCTGTCTTTGTCCGTCAGGTTCGCGACTACTTTGGTGAGCGCATCGGGTTCTACTTCTCGTGGAACGCGCACTTCAGCAAATGGCTCTTCATGGCCACACTCATCGCCGCCATATTCATCATCGGTAGGTAACACCCCCCAGGCACCACACCAACTCGCATCGGTGGATACGCTTATGGATGAATGCTGTGGTGTCTTGTATGTCAGCTGACGTTGGGGCGGGCACGCCTGACAACACGCTCGCCCCCATTTTCTGCATCATCATGGTCACTCACCCACCCATTCACGCACTCGATGGATGGATGGATGGACGGATGGATGGGTGCCTTTAGGCGTTGTGGTCGATCCTGTTCACGCACTACTGGCGGCGCAAGGCCCACAGCTATGCGTTGGAGTGGGGGGTTTTCGACCTGGAGCCCGAGCTCGAGGCGCCCCGGCCGGAGTTCTTCGGCACATACCGCATCAATCCAATCACCGAGAAACAAGACCTATACTACCCCTGGACGGTAGGGTACACGACAAAGCCACCCTTTTTGTGGATGGAATGGCGTGTGGCGTGAGTGTGTGTGTGGTCGTCCATTAGTCGCGGGTGTTGTCGGTGCTGCTGAGTTATGCGGTGATAACTGTGACGCTGGTTGCGATGCTGATAGTCATGGCGACGGTGTTTGTGTTCCGCCACCTCTACCACCACGAAGTGCCCTTTGGACGCATCACATTCATGCTGCTCCTCGCCGTCGTCGTGGACGCACTCAACGTACGCCGCCCACCTACCAGCCACCTGTGTCGATGACACCGTGCACCTGTCTGCACCTGTGTGTGTGTGTGTGTGTGTGCAGTCCATCTTTTCGTGGGTGGTCAAGATTCTCAACGACCGCGAGAACTACCGCACGCAGACCGACTACGAGGCAAGAACCGCTCCACACAAAAAAAACTGTGGACATTCCTTTCTCTCTGTCTCTCCCTCTGTTGGCAGAACGCGCTGTTAGCCAAGACGGTTGTCTTCAAGTTCGTCAACTCGTACGCCGCCCTCTACTACATCGCCTTCTTCAAAGACCACTCCACCACATTCGGTCGGGAACACCCATACCTTGTCATGCAGACGCACAGACGCACCAACGCATGGATGCATGTATTGTGGGTGCTGGTGGTGCGGGTCGTCAGGTCTGACGATGCACTGCGCGCGTGGCGACTGCATGATTGACCTGTCGTGGCAGCTGGCGGCGTTCTTCCTCTACAGACTCATCGCCTCCAACTTCATCGAGGTATGCAACAATGCGGGCTGTGCAGGGAATGGGTGCGGGTGGGTGGATGCATGTATAATGTGTGCAGTTGTTGTGGCCCAAGGTGGTGTATCTGCTCAAGAGCTGGATGGAGCGACGCGCCTTCAAGGGGTCCAGAGGGGCAGTGCTACAGGTACCCACACCAACATGCACGTCACATCCAGCAAGCCAATGAGAGGCTTTTACGGTGTGATGTGGTGTGATGCCAATGACAGGATATGTCCCAGTCTGAGCAGCAGTGCAAGAAAGAGTCCTACAATCCATTCGATGACTTCGACGAAAGTCAGCCAAGACATCTTGTACACACACACATGAAGACGCATCTCATTCTCTCTCTCGTAACCATTCAGTGGTGGTACAGTTCGGCTATTGCAGTCTGTTTGTGGTCGCCACCCCCTGGATATTGCCACTCGTAAGAAAGGCCACCCGCACGGAAACCGATGGACGCATCAACACATCTGCATGACATGCGGCTCTTCCTGTCTGCCTGTGTGCTTGTGTGTGTGGCCAGGCTGTGTTGGCCAACGTGGTTGAGTGTTGGGTGGACAAGAACAAGCTCATCCACCACATGAGGCGACCCATGCCTCTCAAAGCCAAAGACAACGGTCAGCCGGCACCCATGCGGCACAGCCACACGCACAGTGCACACCCACTCACTACACAGCGCCGTGTGTTTCTCATGATGCATATGTGTGTATGAGCAGGCAGTTGGGATATGTGTTTCGAGGTGATGGGCTTCCTGGCCGTCTTCACTAACGCAGCGCTCGTCGTCTTCACCACAGGCACGCTCTCTTAAGATCAGAGGACACATAAGAGTCCCGTTGGTGTATGAGTGCACCATGCTGCTTGTATGTGGTGTTTTCTTCAGAGGTGTTCCTTGGCGCGTCGCTGCTCATCAAGTTGCTGTGGTTCTTAGCTATTGAGGTGAGTGAGCAATGGGAAGATGGTCAGGTGCTGCACACAAACATGTCCGCCATGCGTGTATGTGTGCAGCACCTGGTCATTCTGGCGCGCATTGTGATGCACGTCATCCATCCCGAGGTGCCCGAGTACGTGCGCATCCTCAACCTCAAACACAAGTATGTGGCGATTGCACGCCCGAGGGCATATGCAACCAGGCCCCTTCATACTGTATGTGTGTATGTATGTGTGTGCAGGCACATCGTTCACAAGCATGTGGACTGTGTGGACGAGGAGGATGAGACAATGCGGGCACACGCACTGCAAGACAGAGAGGTAAGCCACGTCACACTGCCCGCGAACCCGTCCATCCATTTGTGTCTGTTTTTCGGCCTGGCTGGGGTGATTGGTCAGTTGAAGGTCGCCATCCTCGACGTTGACGATGATGACGACGACTGAAGATAGATACAGACAGAGATACGAATGCATACATACCTCTAGGCAGGCACACGTGCGTAGATTGGGCGAGGGAGAGGATGTCTAGCTAGGTGCCTTGATTGATCGAGGCAGCCGGCCGGGGAAGGAGGGAGGGATGGGGTGTACAGCGGATGGAGGGAGTCACGGGCCGACCGACGGATAGACGCCTCGCTTGCATGACCTGCGTAGATCCCCATCACATACATACACACATACATACACATATGTACATACATAGATATATACATACGTACGCATACGTTCATGTACATAGTCTTGCTGGCCTCTGATCTCCCGTTTTCATCTTAGCGCATCATGTGTGTCTCGCTCCTCTCTTGGCGTTGGTTTTCCCGTACAGACAGCGGTTTTCCATCCATCCATGTATGTGAGCAGGGACGATGGTGCTTAGTGAGTGAGTGGACCCATGCGTGTGCTTCCATAAATGAGTGAATGTCTCGTATGTGACGTTGATTGTCTGTCCGCGGACTGATCGAGGCTGCTGAGCATTGTTCGACGATTGCTGGTCCTCTGCCAAGGCTAAAGCCTACACTCGCTACGTTGTTGTTACGTTGCCTCCTGCCAGCTCTTTTTCGACGATTCGGCGGCAGAGATAAGGCCAAGTAGGCGACTCGAGCGAAAAAAGGAAAAATGACCGACTGCTTCTGTCGGTTGTGAGCCTGGAGCGCTAATTCCTGGTGTGTTCTATGGGTTTCTAGTGTGTCTCAGTTGTCCTTGGCGCCTGTATTTCAGGGCACGGCGTGGATAATCGTGCCGAGAAACGCGCAGACAAGGCCAACAACGCCTGCGACGCGACGCCACGACACAACGCAACAAGGTGTCAGTATAGTGTGTGGGCTCATTCATTCATGTGGATACTGACCGAGGATGGATGAGTAGCCCATTGGACACTTTATGTCATCTTCGCCGTCCGTGCAGCTGATTTGGTCATCATCCGTGCCCTCGGACGTCATGGCGCCCCACACGACCAGACCTGCACACGGCACGCACATTCGTGTCTCTCTGCCTCGGTGTTCTGGTGGATGTGCCGACCGAGAAAGATGAAGAGCAGCGAAGCGCCCCACGCAGCGAGGCCAGGAATGTACCACTTCTTGTCCTGGAAGGAAAGTGCGCTGAGCGAGAAATGAACACACACACACACACACACAGAGACGGGGAGAGAGACACACACATCTGTGTTCGCGGGCACTTATCGAGGCTAAAGAAGCAGGAGGACCTGAAGGCCATTCCGGCGAGAAGCGCTACCATGCCAAGGGCACCGAAGACAATCATGACGAGGCCAGAAGCGATGGCTTTATCGATCATGGTACAAGTGTCCTAGCCACACAAGGAGGAAAGGGCAGCAAGGATACTTCCTGTCATGTAATGTCTCTTCACCTCCATTGCGTCCTTGCACTCGCCACCGTCCTTGGATTCGAAATGCTCTTTGTACTTGGCGTGTGCTGTCCTGAACGAATACAGGAGGCAGGCAGGCAGGCAAGCAGGCAGGTAGGCAGGCATTCATTCATCAGCATCTCGTGCTTCTGCGACTACATACCTGCAGGCGCAATAGTCAGTGCCGTCACGGGTCATGTCGCCGCACTTGGTATCGTAATCCTCGAAAAGCTTCTCCCTGTCCCCGCATTTGCCGTTGGCGGCCTCGCCATTCGAGGACGTCTCATATGCATCCACCGAATGCGTCAGCCCGAAGGACTGAATCTTCTTGTACTTGGGGGTCTTGTTGTCGTACATGGACTCCCTCCATGAGTCCGTTGCCATACCTGCAGCGATAAAAACGAAAGGCGGCCGGTCGGAAAAGCAACAAAGAGTACACAACCGCGGCTGTGTGCCGGCAGCCTCACCGGCGATAAGCAAGGCGAGAGCACATAGGCCTGCAAAGAGCAAATCAAGAAGAGAAAAGGCACGTCCCTCCTCCCCATCGTCCCTCTTACCGAAGCCGGCTGCCACGAGTTTGAGCACCCTCGTAGGGGATGAGCTCTTGTGCTCAACAGGGTTGGTGGGAGTCATCGGCACCGCGCAGACGAAAGCCTGAGGAAGTCCCAAAGAAAGACCCCGAGCCGCGATTTTTTAGATCAGATCTCTAATTGACCGCGCTCCTTTCCACTATGCTCCCCTTTTGGCTCTCCTGCCCGTCATCCTATCCTCGCTTCTTCCTCTGCGTGGCCACCCTCACAGCCGCAGCTCTGCTGGGCCATTTCATCCTCACCGTCACCTCGCCGGCACAGGAGATGCGCACGGGCTCTCGGCAGTTGCTGGATCTGTCAGCAGAATCCAGCTTTGCAAATGGCTATCGGGACACAGATACCTTCCGCTTATGTCTGAAGGAGAACGAAAATGCCGTCAGCGGCTCATCTCTCACGGCAGATCTCTGCAGCAGCGGGAAGCGTGTTCACATCGCCATTGGCATAGACAACACGGGACTGGAGCCCATTCCCACCCTTCTCAACTCGGTTGACGCCAACCATCGCAACACGCCACTGGCGGGATGCCTGGATGTCCATCTCGTAACGATGGACGTGTCGTCAACACACCCAATCTTCGTAGCTCTGCGCGAAGAGGCCTTGGCGGCTCGAAGATGGCCGGCATTGAGGCTCCACCTGCTCAACTTCACTTATCTGCAGGTGGCCAACGACGTTGCAAAGATGCCCGCCATCCGCCCCTATCGCATCGGTGCGGCCCTGCATCGCAACGTCAACGGCGGCGGGGCTCCCATCACGCGAGCGGCCAGTCTTCGCATTTGGCTGCCGCACTTGTTGCCCAAGTCTGTTGGCCGAGTGCTGTATCTCGACTACGATGTGATTGTGGATGCGTCGCTGGAGGGGATTTTCGAGCTGCCGATGAGACAGGATGAGGGCATCGCGGCTCGGTCGTTCCCTGCAGAGAAGGGAGGGGGGCGGGCAGTGGTGAGGGGGTGGCTCGAGAATGCAGGCGTCGGTGACAAGTTCGTGTACACCGGGGCCGACAGGGCATTCAACTCAGGTCCGTGGATGCAACTTTGATTCGTTCAAGCGAGTGAACATCGTCATTTCTGTCTGTCAGGAGTGTTGTTGATGAACCTTGTCGTGCTGCGGTGCATGAACTTCTCGTCCACCCTGGGGAGGTGGAATGAGCTGTGGGGCATCAACGATCAGACGGCACTCAATCTCTTCTTCAACGGAAGCTACCACGAGCTTGACAGGCGATACAACACATTCATCGACTCAGAAGGTGTGTGTATTTTGTCTTATGGATCCATAGTTTCTGTCTGCCGAATGGGTGTTTTGTGTTGTGGCTGGCTGGCTGGCTGGCTGGCCGGCTTGCAGACACGGAGCACGTGTCTCCATCTTTTGAGCCAGCCATAATCCACTACAAGGGCGCCATCAAGCCATGGAGCCGTCCCGACAGCTGGGAGGCATTCATCACAAGCCACACGAGAAGACACTCGTACGCCAGTCTGTGGCCGCCATGTCTCTTCACGAGCTATGGCGCTAGAAGAAGAAGAGACACACATGTCAGCTATGATGATGGGTGCACGTATGTGCGGCCTGCGGTGCGTTCGCCGTTGATAAAGAAGTGGTGGGGCGTGTGGGGCAAGTACAGGACAGATCTCGCTTGAGTGTAGGGATTGTGTGTGAATCGTTGGCTGTCCGTCAGCGGAGCCAGCGTTGTGGGTAATTGGCTTCCTGATGCACGAGAGCTTTTCACAAACAGCCATAACAGTGACTGAAAAAAGTCGTCAAAGGACTGGAAAAGGTCGAATCAAGAGTGTCAGCAATCGAACACAAATCACAAATACAATGAAGATCGTCAAAGATGTTCGTCCAAATAAGTGCACAACCAAACAAGCGAGCAGCGATGCAGCAACCCCAGCCCCATCCTATTCCCTCACATGTCACTGGACAATGATTGTCTCTGCACTTTGACTAGGGGCCGCATCATCATAGACCACATCCATCCGCTGCAACGTCTCATTCACGGGCAGCCTGATAACCACAGCACACTCTCTGTCACATTGATGTCTCCCTTTTTTTTTGCTGTGGCGTCATGTGTTTCCCTCACCACTTCAGAGGTGGCTCCACATTCTCTGTCTCATCACTGTAGTCAACGTGCCTCCACTGCCATCGCCGCAATTCATCTGTCACAGGATTCCTCACGGACGGGTGCACGCTCACGTCTCGCAGTGTCACATTCACACACGGACGGGCCTCCGAATCGCACGCCAAGAAGCCGGGGAAGAAGTTCGTGAAGGTCCCGGTCAAGCGCTCGACCAGCACGTCGCTGATGCGGACTGACTCTTTCTTCGGGGGGCGTCCGTCAGGCTTCCACACGTGCGGACCCGGGTGATCTGACACGAAAGGAATGAAAAGGTCAGAAGGTCGATGCGCTGGATGGGCATGTGTTGTGTGTCTGACCTGGGTAGAACTGATTGATAACGACTGCCCTATCGACGTGGTCCAGCGTGATGTCGCGGTAGGTGATGTTGGAGACAGAGCCGACTGACCCAGGCCACGTCTTGATGCGAGCGCCCACCTCAGTGCGGTGGCACTTGATTCGCTGAAAGGTGACGTCATTCACGAAGCCCCTCGTGCCTTCTCTCCGGCCGCCGATGGAGCCGATCGTCACGCCATGGCCGCGACCGAAGACACAATCCTCAACGAGGATCTTCTCTGACCCACTCTTTATCTGCAGGCAGCACAAACACACAAAGGGACAGTGCAGATGACCAAGTGCACGTGACCTCTCCGTGTGTCTAGTGTTGGCTCGCTTACCGCCACATTGTCGTCTCCCGTGCTGATATCGGCGCGTCTTATCGTCACGTTATATGCCCTCAGTGTCTGAATGCCGTCGGTATTCGGCGACGAGTCTGGTGCGCGGATCGTCACGTCCTCGACCAGAGCGTGCCGGCTCTCGTCGATGACGAGGTTGAACATGGGTGAGTCCTGCAGCCGAAGATTGTCCACAATTACCCCCTCACACCGACGGAACACCACCAACACTGGCCTAAAGAAGTTGGCATCGGCTCCGCGGTTCCACGCGTCGAACACCAGCTGCCACCAGGCCGGGCCGTTGCCGATGACGCTCCCCGGTTCGCTGCTGACATCAGGTCGAAGGGAGCTACCAGTGACGCGGACATTCGCAGACTCCTCGATAAGTAAAAACGCTGGTGTGCTGCCGAAGGGGTACGACGGCCATCTCGTGGGGTCATGGAAGGCCTGCAAGCTGCCCTCGATTCGGACAGTCATGTTGACAGCGCTGCCGACGCGAATGGGCAGAGTGAAGAAGTCCCCATCTGGGATGTGGAGAGTGCCGCCAGTCTTGCATTCAGCGAGTGCATCCATGATGGCGGGATGGTTGTTGTGCCCTTCGCCGCTGACAGCGCCATAATCAAGTATGTTGCAGGTGCGCGTTGAGAGGCAGCAGCGAAGGAGAAGGGGCGCGAGCGGGATGACGAGGAGAGGTGACGCGGGGGGGAAGAGGATTCGCCGAGCCACCATCTCCGCGAGTCAGCAGTCCGAGTCGCCCTTCTGAAAGAGTTTGACGATGCCCGAACTCGCAAAACGCCCCCCCCCGCCCTCCCCACATCCTTCCTTCTTCTCTCTGCCTGCACAGAGCCGGGCATCGGCAAGTACAAAGTCGGCAGTTTGTTCGGTAGGAGAAACAGAGAGAATCCCTTCGCCCAGTGGCTGGGAGCGTTGTTGCGCCATTGCACCTTTAGGACTGACGCACGGAGCGTTCGTAGTTGAAAAAAGTAAGATTCGTACTCACTGCCTGGTGCCACATTACGCGTGCCTCCGATGAGTGCAGAGGACAAAGTGATCAAGGATCGCACCAATGGAAAGACGAAATGCAAAGACCTCGAGGACGAAGACGAGAAGTGCAGCGAGATCTCAATCCAGGTGCTGCTTTACCCATTCATGTCTCACTCATTCATTCATTCATTCATTCATTCATGACTCGCTCATTATTTGGTGTCTGCCTGTGTTCCTTGGTGTGCAGGGGGGCCAGTTCTGCTCGTGCAGGTGGGTTGGTGAACGTCTGAGTCAGAGGAAAGAACCGCGATGGCCATGGCTTTTGCGGCTGTCTTCTGTAGAACCTCTTACTCCAAGCAAAAAAAGCGGCTGGACGATATCAAGGACTCCGCCGCTTACAAGGCTTTCCCGAAGGAAGACAAACAATCAATTGAGGTATCAGGAGAGTTTCTGGAGCTGAGTATGTTTTCATTGTGTACGCAATGAGTGAATGATACAGGACGGTCTGACCGTCGTGCAGAAGCTCATCGATTCAGGCCTCGTCATGAGTAGGCATTGCATAGAGAAGGCGAGGCAAAAAGACGGGATCGGAGACAATGCATATAGACAGATAGAAAAAGACAATTCGGCACCATGTGTGCGTGTTCATTGGCCAGTCATCTTCGGTGCATTCGGCCTGGTCGGCCTCGTGGTTGGCGCTGTTTTCAGGTGACTACAAACACAACGAAAGCGTCTTGTGCTGTGTCTCGTCACACATATGTATATCTTCAGCGGCCTGTCCACCAAAGACGCCAAATGGCAGATGCCTGGTCCTTATCCGAAGAGAGAGAGAGAGAGAGAGAGAGGGAGGGAGAGACCTCTGCGTCTCTGATGCGTATGTACAGGCCTCATTGGCTGGATTGTTGGTCTCGT